CGTATGAGGAAATAAAGGATCAATTCACCGGCTGGCTACAATATCATCAGGTGAATGATATGTTAAAACAAGATAAAAGAAAAATGGGCTTTGAGGACAAGAAATCAAAATTCAATATAGAAATAATAGAAGGCAAAAACAAAACATTGTCTAAATTATATGACATATTACTGGAATGGCATACAAAAGACGAGGAAGTCAAAGAGGCAATGATTAAATGGGCAATTGACTTCGGTTATAACATCGAGTTTGAAAAGTGGTTGAAATTGTGGAATAGAGACATTAAATTTACGGCCTGTACGAGTTTGAGAGAAAATGTTTGGAAAATGCTCTATAGATGGTATCTTACGCCGGCAAAATTGGCTAAAATCTATAGATCAGAAAATAAGACATGCTGGAAATGTGGTGAAGGGGAGGAGACCTCTACCATATGTGGTGGCAATGAAGCAAGGTGTAGGTTTTTTGTGAATCAATTTATAATGATCTTAAAAAGTTTTTAAATACACTTTTCCCAAGAGACCTGAGGCCTTTTTGCTGTGAATAATGGGTAAGTAAATAAAAAATGAAGATAAAAAAATATTTCTCTATGCCACCACAGCCGCAAGAATTATGCTGGCACAAAACTGGAAAATAGAAACTATTCCTAACATAAGTGACTGGCAGGTCAAAATGATCAACTATGCCGAGCTAGATAGATTAACAGGCAGAATACGAGACCAAGACGACCAGAAATTTCAAAAAAATTGGAGTAAGTTTTGGAAATATATTGGAACGGATATATAGGAGGAGCTGGCGGTATTAGAAAAACTTTATCAGCTAATAACTATAAACTTTAATAAACTAATTACGCAACCCGGGACTTATTAGATACTTACCAAAAGGGTGAAGGGAAGTCAAAGGCTAAGGAGAGCCTAATGGTTATATTATTATTTTTTGTATGAACGTATGCTTTCTTTTTGTATAGTATGAAATTAGGATGAATAATTTATGTTAAAATGTTTATTTTTGTATTTGTTAGTTCTTTTTTCTTTTCTTTATACAAACTCTGAATAAAAATTTACTTGCGAAAAAAAAAAAATAAGGAGTCTCAAAGCGGCTAACATTCTCCTTTCCCTTCCTCCCCCACAACAAACACTCTGTGAGGTGAGTGGGGCTGCGAGACTTCAAGTGTGACTAGCCCAAGGTCACCCAGCAGCTGCATGTGGAGGCGCGGGGAAGCGAACCCGGTTCCCCAGATTACGAGACTACCGCTATTAACCACTACACTACACAGACTCCACTAACCCAGAAATAGTACCTCGGGTTAAGAACTTTGCTTCAGCATGAGAAAAGAAATCGCGCAGCAGTGGTGCAGCGGCAGCGAGAGGCCCCATTAGCTAAAGTGGTGCTTCAGGTTAAGAACAGTTTCAGGTTAAGAACGGACCTCCAGGAAGAATTAAGTTCTTAACCCGAGGTACCACTGTACAGTATATACTGTCATGAGTTGGCTCTATAGAAAGTTCACATTGTCAAAAAATCTTTAGCTACTCTGAACGCCTAAGCCTATCACAGAATCTTTTTATGTTTATGGATTTTAAGAATCATGGTCCTAATGGCCGTTTTCTGCCAATAGCTCCTGAAGCAGGTGAGATTATTATTATTTGTTTTAATTTATTACTTGCCCTTCACCCTAAGGTCCCTGGGGTGGGAGGGTTGCAACTATTAAAGCAAAAATCTTAAACACAGAAAATGCATGGTTTGAAGCATAACATATTCCTTCATATCCATGCCAGCAAAAGAATTTCCTGTTAAATACCACCTGCCAGGCAGATGTTAAAGACACAGAAGCTGCTTATACAGTATTTGCAAGGAAGCCTCTTATCTGTTTTCTTAACTCTGAAACACGTAGAGCTGTAACAAACAAAATGGCTTCACTGAGCCATAGTTTGCTCCCCCTTTATTGTCCCTCCCTCTAAGACATTCCAGAAACCAGATGCCCACCCAGAACCAGTATTCAGTGCTCAAGAAAACAGAGACTGAAACGTACCGTATGTTTAAAATAGTTGGCTTTCTCCAAGGAATCCTGGGAACTGTAGTTCACCTATCACAGAACTACAGTCCACAGCACCCTTAGCAAACTCAGTCCCCAGGATTCTTCTGAGAAAGCTTTAAATGCACAGTAAATTAAGGTTACCAGACGTCCCTGTTTCCTAGGGATAGTCCCTGGATTTACAAATCAGTCCCCATAGAAAATCCATTGAAGTTGAAAAGTGTCCCCCGATTCATAAATCTGGTAACTTTACATTAAATGTCTGGTCTGTGAGCAGCCCTAGTTGCATCTCTGAGACCCGAGTTCAAGGCTTGCTGTGTCGCTGCTAATCACCAGCAGCTCACTCTCAGTGGAATGGAAAGGATATTAACTTTAGAGTTAATCAGGCAAAAATTAGCAATCCAAAGGGATAGGTGATTAAACAAGATCTTGCTGGCCAAGAATTCAATCACTTTTACTGTGACTTTTTAGCCGTTTCTAATTATTAAAAAAGAGGGTTTTGCTTTACTGTTGGATTGCTTTGTTTTCATGGACTGAGACGGCTACCTGCAATTGCTTGCTACGGTGTGATTATCCCAGAGGGTTGCTGGGAAGGCAGTAAGGATTATTCATGACATTTAATCTCATTCTTCCTCCAAAGACCCCAGAACCTGGTTCTTCCCCAGTTTATCATAACAATCCTGTAACGTAGGTTAAGCTGAGAGATCATGACTAGCTGAAGGTCATTTAGTGAGCTTTGTGTTATACTGGGGTACGCACATGGACACTTACAGGGGAAGGGAGAAAGATCAGTTGTAGAGCATCTGCTTGACTGTTTGATCCCCAGGATCTCCAGTTAGAATTGGGACCATACACTTCCTGAAATCACAGGGAGCTGCTGCCAGCCAGGGTAGAAAATACTGGGCTAGTCAGACTAGTAATTTGACTCAGCCTACATATGTGCCTAGGGACGCGGGTGGCGCTGTGGATTAAACCACAGAGCCTAGGACTTGCCGATCAGAAGGTCGGCGGTTCGAATCTCTGTGACGGGGTGAGCTCCCGTTGCTCGGTCCCTGCTCCTGCAAACCTAGCGGTTCGAAAGCACGTCAAAGTGCAAGTAGATAAACAGGTACCGCTCCGGCGGGAAGGTAAACGGCATATCCGTGCGCTGCTCTGGTTCGCCAGAAGCGACTTAGTCATGCTGGCCACATGACCCAGAAGCTGTACGCCGGCTCCCTCGGCCAATAAAGCGAGATGAGCGCCGCAACCCCAGAGTCGGCCACGACTGGACCTAATGGTCAGGGGTCCCTTTACCTTAACGTACATACGTGCCTACATATACTGGGATAAATGGTAATATATAGATTACCATATATAGGGGTAGGCAAACTAAGGCCTGGGGGCTGGATCCGGCCCAATTGCCTTCTAAATCCGGCCCGCGGACGGTCCAGGAATCAGCGTGTTTTTACATGAGTAGAAGGTGTCCTTTTATTTAAAATGCATCTCTGGGTTATTTGTGGGGCATGCCTGGTGTTTTTACATGAGTAGAATGTGTGCTTTTATTTAAAATGCATCTCTGGGCTATTTGTGGGGCATAGGAATTCGTTCATTTTTTCCCCCCAAAATATAGTCCGGCCCACCACAAGGTCTGAGGAACGGTGGACCGGCCCCCTGCTGAAAAAGTTTGCTGACCCCTGATATAGAAGCTAGGATTTTTTGTTACTTATATCTCCTCCTGCCTTTCCTCCAATGAACTCAAGGTGGCAGACATGTTTTCCCGCGTCCCCCAATTTTATCCTCACAACAACCTTCGGAGGTATGCTAGGCTAAGTGGCAGTGGGTGGCCCGACAAGCGAGCTTCATGGCTGAGCAGGGATTTGAACCCTGGTTTCCCAGGCCCCAGTCCAGCGCTTGAACCACCACACCACACTAGCACAGTTAAAAGGTAAAGGTAAAGGGACCCCTGACCATTAGGTCCAGTCGCGGATGACTCTGGGGTTGCGGTGCTCATCTCGCTTTATTGGCCGAGGGAGCCGGCGTACAGCTTCTGGGTCATGTGGCCAGCATGACTAAGCCGCTTCTGGCGAACCAGAGCAGCGCACAGAAACGCCGTTTACCTTCCCGCCGGAGTGGTACCTATTTATCTACTTGCACTTTGACGTGCTTTCGAACTGTTAGGTTAGCAGGAGCAGGGACCGAGCAATGGGAGCTCACTCCGTCGCGGGGATTCAAACCGCCGACCTTCTGATCGACAGGGATTGCGTACCATCCGCAACCTTATGAAAGCACTGGATCTTTACCCCTCTGGACCCTGTGCTCTCCCACTGGGCACCCCTGATCTGTGGTGCTCCTAAACCTGCACCCCAGTTCCTGAATTCCAGCTCCAATGTAAGGTTGATTTACAGGCCCCACAAGGCACTGACGGTGCCTAATAAGCGTATCCTTCCAGTAAAGATTGCTTCCATTTTAAGTGCCGTAACATGACACAGACAAATGGAAATTTATATCCAAATACATATTTACCCATTACATTGTAATAAATATTGCACTGCATATTTATTAATCGGAAGCGGCGTTTGTATAAGGGTTTTCAAGTGTTCAAAGCCTTTCAAATGCATTATCTTGTAATCTTTATGACAGCTGTGTCAGGTGAGTATTATTCTTTCCCCGTTTTCACAGACGGGGGCTGGGGGGGCCCCCTTAGGCAACCCTGTCATCCTAAAGTCACCAACCGAATTCATCATGGCAGAGATTAAAACCCAAGACAAAAACTTCCAGCAGATGTATTTTTAAACCAGTTCGGGGGCTTTTATAAGCCTAAGCTCCTTCCGCTCCTCTGAACCGTGAGAAATTCGGGAGCAGCGCTATTTGGGTTCGAGGAGAGAACACTGGAGATCACTCACGGTGTTCTTTCAATATTTTCTCTATTTAAAAATATACACAAGCAGAGCATGAAGCGAGGGGGGAGGAGGTAAGGTACATGGGAAGGGCTGCAGCTCAGCTGGCAGGGCGCATGCCTTGCATGCAGAAGGTCCCAGGTTCAATCCCTGGCATCTCCAGTTAGTAGTAGTAGTAGTAGTAATAATAATAATAATAATAATAATTTATTGATACCCCACCCATCTGGCTGGGTTTCTCCAGCCACTCTGGGCGGCTTCCAGCGGAATACTAAAATACAATAACCTATTAAACATTAAAAGCTTCCCTAAACAGGGCTGTCTTCAGATGTCTTCTAAAAGTCTGGTACTTGTTTTTCTCTTTGACATCTGGTGGGAGGGCGTTCCACAGGGCAGGTGCCACTATCGAGAAGGCCCTCTGCCTGGTTCCTTGTACCCTGGCTTCTCGCAGAGAGGGAACCGACAGAAGGCCCTCGGAGCTGGACCTCAGTGTCCTGGCAGAACGATGGGGGTGGAGACGCTCCTTCAGATATACTGGACCGAAGCCGTTTAGGGCTTTAAAGGTCAGCACCAACACTTTGAATTGTGCTCGTAAACATACTGGGAGCCAGTGTAGGTCTTTCAAGAACGGTGTTATGTGGTCTCGGCGGCCGCTCCCAGTTATCTGTCAAGCTGCCGCATTCTGGATTAGCTGTAGTTTCCGGGTCACCTTCAAAGGTAGCCCCATATAGAGCGCATTGCAGTAGTCCAAGCGGGAGATAACTACAGCATGCACCACTCTGGCAAGACAGTCTGTGGGCAGATAGGGTCTCAGCCTGCATACCAGATGGAGTTGATAAACAGCTGCCCTGGACACAGAACTGACCTGTGCCTCCATGGACAGCTGCGAGTCCAAAATTACTCCCAGGCCGCGCACCTGGTCCTTCAGGGGCACAGTTACCCCATTCAGGACCCCATTCTGGGGTAGGGGAGACGACTGCCTGAAACCCTGGAGAGCTGCTGCCAGTCAGTGTTGACAATACTGAGCCAGATGGGCCAATGGTCTGACTTGGTATAAGACAGCTTCATATGACCCTGTGTGCATGCCTTCCTGGCAGCAGATCCACTGTCTTACATGAGGTCTGCATACACCCCAGCTCACAGATCTCCCTCCAGGGCTGGCAGATCCAGCCTCCAAGGAGCGTGCTGCAGCTGTTGCTGCCACTGCAGCAGCCACCGCCGCCACAGCAGCAAAGGGTGATGCATTCTCTGGAGGCAGGATCTGCTGCCCCTGCGGAACCTGCCGCCCAAGGCAGTAGCCTCACAATGCCTCAAGGGTGGGCCGGCCCTGTCTCCCTCTCACTGGCCCTGTTTGTTTGTCTCTAAAACAGCAGTTTCATCTCACACCCAAAGCTTTGATCAGCACCCCACTCTGGTGGTAGGTGGAGGGGAGGGAAGAAGGAAGCTGCAATACCTTTCAAATTGTGACACAGAAGGTGGGGAGCTGTTCTGCAGCCTGAGGGTCACCTTCCCTCTTGGGCAACCGTGCCAGTGGTGGGGAGACTCTTGGGGAGCTGGACCTGGAGTTCCTGCTCTGGTGGGTTTTACTTCCCTAACATTCCAACCATGCAATTCTCCCATGAACATAATAAGGTGCCAGAAGCCATTATGGGCTATGAACGAGGTTGTTCACTCACCACAGCATTGCAAAGCATCAAGTTGTTGGCGTCTGTCTGTCTCGGGGGACAATGGAAGAGTGCGCCTTTACAGGTGAAGTAAAACTGTTCGAAGGTTGCAGTGGCTGCTGTGGCTGTAGAGGCCGATACAGGAGAGACATGTTTTGCTGCAGCTGGGACAGATGAAGGCATCCGATTGTGCTGTTGCAGATGCACCATGGTGTTTCTTCTCTCTGTGTTTCTCCCCAGGAATCCTTCCTCCTCTGGTCACTGCTACGGATGCATAACCTGCGGCTACCTGCAAGGGATCCCCCACAGGGTGGGGTAGATGTTGCCAGTCTTCATGCCATGTTTGCTGACGTCTTTGTAACGCAGAGTTGGACTGCCAACAGGCCTGGTGCCTGAAGCCAGCTCCCACAGAGCATGTCCTTGGGGATCCTGCCATCTTCCATTCTGTGGACAAGACCAAGCCTGTGTAGATGTCACTACGACAGGAGAACAAACATGCTGGGGTGGGCTTGGAAAAGCGCATCTTTGTTTGAAACTGCCCATGCAATGCCCAAAACCTTCCTGACGTAGCACATGTGGAAGGCATTGAGGCGCTGCTCCTGGCGGCTGAAAGTTGCTCACGACTCGCTTCCATAAAGCAGCATGCTCAACACGCAGGCGAGGTAGACATTTGTCTTGGTATTGGACGTTGGCATCACATTCTCCCATACCCTTTTGGGGAGGCGAGCCATTGCCATAGCTGCTGGCTCTCCCAAATCAGTACAGTGGTACCTTGGGTTAAGTACTTATTTCGTTCCAGAGGTCCGTTCTTAACCTGAAACTGTTCTTAACCTGAAGCACCACTTTAGCTAATGGGGCCTCCCGCTGCCACCGTGCCGCCGGAGCACGATTTCTGTTCTCATCCTGAAGCAAAGTTCTTAATCCGAGGTTCTATTTCTGGGTTAGCGGAGTCTGTAACCTGAAGCGTCTGTAACCCGAGGTACCACTGTATTCCGAATAGGGTTGCGGCTTCAGCAAGCTGGTGGTGATCTCCGCAAAGCCACACAAATTCGTACCCAGGCCTAGCAATTTTATATAGGCACGTATTGCATGTACAGTCCGCCTCTTCCCCAAGGAGTTCCAGACCAGGTCCTCAACCACCCTGTGAGGTAGACAAGTTAAGCGCCCAGGGTTCCCCGTGGAGGAGCTTCAGACCCCTCCACTCCTTCTAGGGCGCAACTCTGAATTGCTTCGGCGGAAGAAGAGCGGGGGCTTTTCTGCTGAGTTGCTCAGGGGGAGTCACACTTCCTCTCGCTCCCTACCGGAAGAGAAGGCCTTAGAGGGCCGCTCGCGGGTCTGCGACCAAGCGCCCCGCGGAGCAGCATTAAGAATGGCTACCTCTACCTGTCCAGGGCGAAAGAACGGCGTCAGTTTCCTATATCCGCGAGCGCTCCCTGCAGGGGGAGAGGGCGGCGGGGCAGCGCCCTTGGGCCCTCCCTCGCCCTGTGGCTGCGCGGAGAGGGCGGGAGCTGGCGAGGAGCAGCAGCAGCAGCAGCACGTGCCAAGCCCCTCCTTCCCTCGCGCCGCTGCGCGCCATCCAGCCCGGACCGTGGGAGCTGCCGGCTGTTGGCCAGAAAGGCGCGAGGCTCTCTGCGGCGGCGACGGCGCGCCCAGGTTCGTCCTGCTGCGAAGCGCGAAGGTGGTTTTTGCGCGCGCGCGCGCGTTTTTTTTAATGTTTTGCGCTCTCTCACGCGCAGCTCTCCAGATGTGCAGGCAGGCAGCGGCGCGCGGCGCGGCCACGAGCCCGTCGCCGGCTGCACAGGCTGGGCCAGGAGGGAGAGAAAGCAGCGGAGCCCGCCGAGCTGGAGGGTGGCGCTGGGAGGAGGAGGAGGAGGAGGAGGCGAAGCGGCAGTGCTGCTGACGGGGATGATGGCGAGCAGCAGCTCCTGGGCAGCCGCACGGAGATGCCGCAGCCGGGCTTGCGCCTTCGCCTCCGCCGCCGCTGAGATACGAGCCGTCGGCCCCAGGTGAGCGCCCCCGCTGCTCCGGGGACGGGCGCGGGAGGCAGCAGGGATGTCCGCGGCCGCAAAGGCGGGCCAGGCCGGGGCTGCAAATCCCCAAGAGTTCCAGACGGGATAACGAGCCCGGTTGGGGGGGGGGGGACGGCCGGGAGAAAGGGAGGGACGCTCCCCCCTCCGGGCTGGCTTAGGAGAAAGGCAGGGGGTCAGCGCGCAAGGAACGTCCCTCGTCAGGAGGATGCTTTCTCCGGGGGGGAGCGGGACATGCTTAGGCGGGAGGAGAACGGTGCGCGTTGGAGAGAAACGCCTTCTGCACATGCTCCGAGGCACCGTGGCCTGGGGGCGAGCCTCGCGTTTGTAAACAGGTGCCCGAGCTCAGGCGAAGTCTTGCCCTTGCGCCAAGAGCGGGGGGCAGACGCCGCTGCCACCTCTGCCCGCCACCCACCCACCCACCTGCTGTCCCCCTTTTGGCGCCAAGCTGGCCTCGTCGTCGGGGCTTCCCAGCAGAGCTCTGGCTTCCTCCGTCGCGGAGGGTCGAGGGAGTAGCCCGGGAAGGCAGCAGTCCTAGCCGGGAAGCAGCTCTGGGCTTCTTCCCCGCTGACCTTGGGAAGCGACCTGCGGCTGCGGCTTTCTGCGCGAGCGGGGAGGGCAGCCGGGCAGGTTGGGCAGCAGTAGCGGGGGCGGCGGCGCGTTGCCCTCTAAGGTGGACGTGGCTCCGTCCGGGCTGGTCCGGCGTCGGGCACTCGGGACTTATGAGGGAGGATGGAGAAGAGGGGGGAGCCCGCCCGCGCTTTTTGCTTGTTTGTTTGCCTGGAAGGAGGAAGGGGCGGGTTAAAAGCCGGGACCGACGAGAGAGGAGAGGCGGTGGGGGTGTCGTGACTTCAGGGCAGTCGAGGGGGCGGAGTGGCAGCGTAGCTTGGGATTCCTGGGCCTCCTCTGGAAGGGATGGGAGAAGGTAGGTTTGGAGCGAGCCGGGTCTCCTTCGAAGGAAGTAGCAGCCTGGATTCTTGGGGAGGTGCTGTGGGCCCTCCCCTATAAAATTGATGGGCATTGCCCTAAAGTTGATGGGCATTGCCATTCAATCGGTGTGGATGCACCCCATCATGTGGTCGATTACACAGGGCGGGGTTTACCTGCCACCTCCCCAATATTTATCCAAGTTGGCACCCCTGGCTGTGGGGCAATCTCGGAAGCCTTTAATTTTTGAGGTGGAGAGATTTCCACTCTTTGAGGGAGGAGGGAAATGGGGGCCAATGAGACTCCCTCATCCTCTGAAGGGAGCAGATGAGGATTGGGTTGGAGGTGCCAGACTAGCTGGAAACCCCTTGGCAAACCTCTGCTGGCCTGCCGCCTTATGGGTGCCAGCGACTCTCTGCCCCATAGTCCTTGCCATTCCCCACTTCATGCAGGGGCCAAGATTCTGCCCAGGGGTTTGTTCCACATAGAACAGGGAAGGGTGGGCAAATGAACCAGAGACAGACGCCAGCTATGCTTCCACTCCGCCATTGCAATCTCGGTCACAGAATCATAGGGTTGGGAAGGAACCATGAGGGTCATCTAGTCCAACCCCCTGCAGTGCAGAAATCTTTTGCCCAAGGTGGGGCTCGAACCCATGATCCTGGCATTAAGAGTCTCATGCTCTGCCGACTGAGCTATCCCAGTTCCTCTTCAACCATTACATATTTACGCCTCTTATCAAAGGTGCTTCCCTGGGTCCCAAAAGGCCCACCATCCCAGGGTGGGTGGGAGGTAACCAGAGGGGGAAATAGCACCTTTTTGTTTGTGGCTCCCAGTCTATATAAGTCTTACTTGATTGGAGCCAGTCCAGGACCAAGCAAAGATTCACCACCACCACCAAGTTGCCTGAACATTTCAGCATGTTCTGTATTTTTGTTCTATGGTATAGTTTTGCTGGATTGTATTGGGTTTCTGGCTGCTTATCTCTGTGCTTTAATCTTCGTCATTTCTTTGTTTTGTAGTCTTAATTGGTTGTGTGGCACCGAGGGAGTTTTATATACCGAAGCCTCCTTTAGCATCTTACGATTTAGGTGCATGGTGTACACTCTGAGCGGCTTAAAAGTCTACACCTAAATTGCAAGATGTGGATGCAATAGACATGTTTGCAAACAGGCATATATGCTAGTCAGGGGTACGTGGTTGGCTGCATCTGCCTGTTGAGCGTGCGTTCACTGAGCAATGTGTGAAACGTACCTTGGGGCACCAGGCATGGCTGTGCTTGTGTTTGACTCGGAGAGACACTAGAACACAATGTGCCTGTGTCTAGGATCCTTCGTTGGCTGGCTGTAAGAAGAGATTATCTATAGGCAATTGAGAGGTGATCTACATACAGTATAGCTTCTTCCTGTGTGGGAAGTGTTTCTCTGCCCTGAGAAGCGCAATGTGTGAAACAACCCCCTTGGATCTCTGAAACAGAAATCGGCCTTAGTGTGCACATTTCGATATATGTATTGGGCACCTGTAATTTCCCAAAAGTGGGTTTTAAGGCATAGTTGGTGGGAGGACAGGGAATAGGATTTGGGGCTTCCGTTTGTCTCTTTTTGTCTTAGTATTTGACTTAGGAAATGTCTTTGGGTGAGGAAAGGGGAATATGTAGGGAGTTAGGAGTCCAGATTTTAGTCTTCCGTGGGTGAAAAGTGTATTCTGTCGAGTGTATGTGTGTTTTGGGGGAGGGAGTTGGCTGTCTTTGATTTATTATTGCTTGCAACTCTAGAGCAGACTCATTTGTCCAACGTGGCCAAGTCAATCTCACTCTGTGCCTCACTTATAAAATGAAGATAATGATGTTTCTTTGCCAAGCTGCAGGGCTTGGGAGGATAACTGATTGGTTGGGAGGTGCCCTGATACTGTGTTAGCATTGATGTTGTGGTTCTGTGGCTGCCAGGCTCCTGGTCTTCCTTTGTAGCCCACTGCCGCGCATGTTAATGGAGAGGGGAGAAGGGGGAGATGTTTATTTTTGGAGTCAGTCCAGCCTTGAGCATAAGGATAGCTCTTACCATTTTGCCGCTGCCTCCCTGAATTATTCTACAGGTTTCGATAGTCAAGATTCTGAATATTTAATGCGCTTTAATCCTCCCTACCATTCTCACAGTTAAGGTGGTACGTGGCTGGCATTTCTCCCCAATCTTTCAATGTGGTCTTATGGACTAGGAAATGGGGGTTCTAGTTCACATTATTTTATTTATTTACTTATATATTAAAAATATTTCCAAACCACTATCTATTAAAAAATAATAACCAGAGTGGTTTACAAACAATTGTATATAAATAAAGCCATTGAAAGGTTAAAAAACAGAAATCAGCTAAGTACAGTGGTACCTCAGGTTAAGTACTTAATTCGTTCCGGAGGTCCGTTCTTAACCTGAAACTGTTCTTAACCTGAATCACCACTTTAGCTAATGGGGCCTCCTGCTGCTGCCGCACCACTGGAGCACAATTTCTGTTCTCATCCTGAAGCAAAGTTCTTAACCTGAGGTACTATTTCTGGGTTAGCAGAGTCTGTAACCTGAAGCATATGTAACCCAAAGTACCACTGTATTGCATAAAGATTGTATACTTAATTGCCTGCAAAAACCTGACAATCACTTTAGAGATTGCACCAGAAGCGGTTTAGTCCTGCTGGCCACATGACCTGGAAAGCTGTCTGTGGACAAATGCCAGCTCCCTCAGCCTGAAAGCGAGATGAGCGCCACAACCCCATAGTCGCCTTCGATTGGATGTAACTGTCCCAGGATCCTTTACCTTTTTTTTAACAATATAGAAATTGGGTTTGGGTAGGTGATTCAGGCAATTGCCTGAGTAGGGTGGCCCAGACTTGAAGGCTGGTGTGCGTATATCCCTGTCTCATGCTATCAATCCAGTACAGTACCGACATCAGGCATTGCTTCCTGGGAGAATTCAAGATGGCGGCGGCTTGCCACAAAACAGAGCTAAGTGGCAGCTCATTGGCAATAAAAAAAAGTGTTGCTGGGCTAACACATATGTGAGTGACTGCTGAGTGACTGGCAGCCAGCAGCCATACTGCATGGGGACTGTCAACAGCACTGGGCAGGGAGCCATAACTGGGGAATCTTTTAAAGTCTGGCCCTGGCAATCAGGGTTCTTGGTTGTGCCAGAAGCCTACACACATGCTAGCCGAATGTTTCCCAAACTTGGGCCTCCAGCTGTTTTTGTACTATAGTTCCCATCATCCTTGCCCACAGGTCCTGCTAGCTGGGGATGACTGGAGTTCTGGTCCAAAAACAGGTGCAGACCCAAGTCTGGGAAACACTGCACTAGCCTCTCTGATTCAGACCTTCTCCAAAGTGTAGCTGCTGACGAGAGACACAGTGGCAGGAGGAAGGCCAGTGAGCATACCTTGCACTCTTCACCTCACACGATGCTCATTACGCAAAGGGAGTCTGTATGAATTGAGCTATACTGACTGACCCAAGGAGTTTCGTGGCTGGGATTTGAACACAGGTCTTCCCCCAGCAAAAGTCTAATGCTGTTCTTAATACATGCAGCCCTCTCTCTCTCTCCCTCTCTCTCAGTTTTTTTCTTCACCTCTTCCAGGGTTAAGCCCTGGGATTTAAGCTAGGGAGGCACCCTATCTTAATGGGTGTACAGTGGTACCTCTGGTTACGAACTTAATTCGTTCTGGAGGTCTGTTCTTAACCTGAAACCGTTCTTAACCTGAGGTACCACTTTAACTAATGGAGCCTGCCGTGCCGCTGGCGTGCAATTTCTGTTCTCATCCTGAGGTAAAGTTCTTAACCTGAGGTACTACTTCCGGGTTAGTGGAGTCTGTAACCCGAAGTATTTGTAACCTGAGGTGTTTGTAACTTGAGGTACCACTGTACAGTGGTACCTCAGGTTGCATACACTTCAGGTTACAGACTCCACTAACCCAGAAATAGTGCTTCAGGTTAAGAACTTTGCTTCAGGATGAGAACAGAAATCGTGCTCCAGTGGCGTGGCGGCAGCAGGAGGCCCCATTAGCTAAAGTGGTGCTTCAGGTTAAGAACAGTTTCAGGTTAAGAACGGACCTCCAGAACGAATTAAGTACTTAACCCGAGGTACCACTGTATAGGATTATGTAGCAGTTACAGTCCTGCTGTCTAAACTCTACAGGGATTCATATGTATTTTGTAACTGGGTTAGGAACTGGGAAGGTGGGACTGTGAGCTAATAATAATAATAATAATACCTTTATTGTCAATGTACAACCTGTGTACAATGAAATTAACCGAGCCTCCCCCCCGAAAACACTCAATCTCATTGCATTCTGTGTGCTTGTCGCACAACAGAGCAACCCCGAAAGTCAGTTGCACTGGATGCTGTTACGGTTCCCCACACACACAGAGAGACGGCAGAGATATGTACTTGGACAGCTCAAGTGGTGGTGGTCTAACTAGACAGATTTCATCATCTTCACAGCAGATCATCTCCTCTTGTGGTTCGGTCTATGAGCCTCCGCGGGCAGCATGGGGGTTAATGGGCCGTGCAGAGTGGTGCTTGCCATCCTTATTTCATAAGTCTGTGTCTGTGCCCAGGGGTCATTCGGCACATTAGCCGAGTGCCCATAAAGCACACACACACAATGCAGCTCGCGCACGGACCCTAAATGGTACATATTGGTTTCATGGTTCCTTCCAAGTATCAGAGAGATGGGGGGGGGGTTGGATGGCTTTACAGATCTCTCTCCTTTTCCTGGAGTGTAGGGCTGGGGCAGAGGGGAGTAGAGTTTGAGGGTCCACAACAGGGAAATCTTGCATGTTTCTAATAAGAACCAGGCATTGTGTGGGATGCATCGCAGATGATGCCGCTTACCAATATAACACAGCAAGTATTCGCTCCCGTCTTTCTCCCGCTCTGTCTCATCTCTGTCACTTCAACACCCGTTAATAGTTGGTCTCCTTCCACTTGCTGGGGGCGAAGAATGGAATTTTCAGATACTGAGTGATTGACAGCTTGCTGCATTGCATCCCCTGAAGCCTATTTCACGGCCCCATACATAGGATGCGCTCAGTCAAATTTCATTCGCTTTTCTGCATAAGAGTCCCATAACCTTAGACCATGGGTAGGCAAATTAAGGCCCAGGGGCTGGATCCGGCCCAATCACCTTCTAAATCTGGCCTGCTGATCTGGGAATCAACGTGTTTTTACATGAGTAGAATGTGTCCTTTTATTTAAAATGCATCTCTGGATTATTTTGGGGGCATAGGAATTCGTTCATTCCCACCCCCCCAAAAAATATAGTCCAGCCCCCCACAAGGTCTGAGGGACAGTGGACCAGCCCCCTGCTGAAAATGTCTGCTGACCCCTGCCTTAGACGATGGTCTATATAGTATGCAGTTTCATACTAACCCAGTGTGGTGTGGTGGTTAAGAGCAGTAGTCTCGTAATCTGGGGACCTGGGTTCGCGTCTCCGCTCCTCCACATGCAGCTGCTGGGTGACCTTGGGCCAGTCACACTTCTCTGAAGTCTCTCAGCCTCACTCACCTCACAGAGTGTTTGTTGTGGGGGAGGAAGGGAAAGGAGAATGTTAGCCGCTTTGAGACTCCCTAGGGTAGTGATAAAGTGGGATATCAAATCCAAACTCTTCTTCTTCTTCTTCAGCTGCAAGCCTTTTCCTTTTCACTGTGTTAATTGCACACTGGGTCAAAGGGGGTGTGTTCAAGAGCATCATCCACCAAATGGTTTTCACTGTAAAGAGACAGTGTGGTATACTGGCTAGAGTGTCAGACCAGGAGCTGGGAGAGACCAGGGTTCAAATCCTCACATGGCTCTGGCGCTCGCTGGGTGACCTTGACCCAGACACTGGCTCTCAGCCTGTCCTACATCACAGGGTTGTTGTGAACATTAAATGAGGAGGATTGGGGGTGGGGGAACCATGCACGTTTCTTTGAGGTCCTTGGAGGAAAAGGTGACGTATAAATGCAATCGGTGAATGTTTGCTGCAGAAGCCCAGCTGTGTCCCAGAGCTTTCCCATAACAAAATTCTGCAACAGAAACCTGTGAAAAATGGGTTGTGGGTGCAGCTGGCATATGAATGCTTTCTAGAAACCCCTTCCAGCGCCACCACGCCAATCCTGGCCCATCATCAAGCACTGGAAGACTGTGCAACACATTTGCACCCTGAATAGGGAGCTGGGAAGCTGCCTTACAATGAATCAGATGAGAGCCAGTGTGGTGTAGTGGTTAAGAGCGGTAGACTCGTAATCTGGGGAACCGGGTTCGCTTCCCCGCTCCTCCACATGCAGCTGCTGGGTGACCTTGGGCCAGTCACCCTTCTCTGAAGTCTCTCAGCCCCACTCACTTCACAGAGTGTTTGTTGTGGGGGAGGAAGGGAAAGGAGAATGTTAGCCGCTTTGAGACTCCTTCAGGTAGTGATAAAGCGGGATATCAAATCAAAACTCTTCTTATTCTTCAGTCCACCCAGCTCAGTGCTGTCTGAACTGACTGGCAGCAACCCTCCAGAGCTTCATGCCCCCAGCCTTGCCTGAGGAAGATGCCATGTCTTGAACCTGGAACCTTCTGCATGCAAAGCAGGTGCTGTCCCCCTGAGCTACGTCCATTTTGGCACTCGCTGCCCAACAGCTTGGCTGTTTCTCATTGAGGGCAGCCAGTTCCCTACCCGGGTCCTGAATTAGGTCAAGAAAGCCGGTCCACTCGTCACATGGCCTTTCAGTCACCTGCAGGCTGGTCTTTTTTTCTGGAACGGAAAGGTATTGAACGGTGACCTTGGCTGCGCGAGAACAAGAGCGCAACACTTTTGTGCAGAAACGTTGGCCCCCCTCCATCTCTCACAAAGTGCTGCCTCGTTCGAAGGATTAAGGAAGAAGAAAAGTCATTACTGTCAAGAATGTATAACTTGTTGTTGAAATGGAATACTCAGGATGAAACCGTGAAATCTGCTATGATTAAATGGGCACAAGATCTAGGATATAATATTATGTTTGCTGACTGGGAACAGTTGTGGACCACAGGTATGAAATTTACGGCATGTAATGCCCTAAGAGAGAATATTATGAAAATGATATACAGGTGGTACATGACACCAGTCAAGCTTGCAAAAATTTACCATGCGCCCGATAACAAATGTTGGAAATGTAAAGAAAATGAAGGTACTTTCTTTCACCTTTGGTGGACGTGCCCAAAGATTAAGGCTTTCTGGGAAATGATATATAATGAATTGAAAAAGGTATTTAAATATACCTTCTTGAAGAAACCAGAGGCCTTTCTCCTGGGCATAGTCGGCCAATTGGTGCCAAAGAGGGACAGAACTTTCTTTATGTATGCCACAACAGCAGCAAGAATACTTATTGCAAAGTATTGGAAGACACAAGACCTACCCACCTTGGAAGAATGGCAGATGAAGGTGATGGACTATATGGAATTGGCGGAAATGACTGGCAGAATCCGAGACCAGGGAGAAGAGTCGATGGAGGAAGATTGGAAAAAGTTCAAAGATTATCTACAGAAATATTGTAAAATTAATGAATGCTAGAATGATGTTGGATAGAAACTAAGTGGTCTTTAGCTGAAAGGTTACAAGGGAATATGAAAAAAGGGTTTATTAATATGTAAAAATCTAAAATTACAATATTTTTGTGATTAATGACTAGGATACATAAAGAGGGGAGGGATTTGCTGAACGAAATAACTGAACTGGAATACAAAAAAGGAAGGTGTGAGGAGGTCCTGGAAATAAGCAAATGAAGGTCAAGCAATGAAAGGAATGAATTGTTTTTAAATATTTTTACTTTGTATTTTTTCTTTTTTTGTGCGCTTTGTAAAATCTTGAAAACCTTAATAAATATCTTATTAAAAAAAAGAAAAGAAAAGTCATTACTGATGAAATCTCTGCGCATGTAATTGTTTTGGTTAAATTAAAACTCTGCTTATTCCTTCCCTCCCCAGGCCCCCCCCCCTCGCCAGCCTCTGCACACCTTTCTGCCTTTGCCTTGTGCTGTTTCTGTCATGCTCAGTTGCGCAACGTGAAAGGCAAGGAATCGACTGGTGTCCTAAATGGGGAAGAGGCAGGCGCTCAAATGCAGCCATCGTTAACCCTTGTTTAGCAACCTGGATGTTCTTTTCGACAAGAGAACAGCCCAGGCCAGTCTTAAAAAAAAACAAAACAAGTCGGGCTCCAAGCCAGATCATTTCATGGCCCGTGCAAAGGATTATATACCGTTTTCATTTTGGATTAGCCTGGAATATTAACTGCAGTGTCCCTGTTCCATGCTTGCAGCGCTGCAACCGTCATTGAGCCAGTGCAGAGAGTAGTAGGACAGAGTACTGTTTGGCTTGGTGAGGAAAGGCTTCTCCCCAAAGCCATGGTGGGGGAACTGGAGTGCTTGGTATTTTTTAATTTATTTAATCGTTTTTTCAATACAAACAACAACCACAAAAAACACATACAACAAAAACCACAATAACACAATTTAACATTTCAGATTTGAGTACCGATATACAGTGGTACCTTGGGTTACATACGCTTCAGGTTATATACACTTCAGGTTACAGACTCCGCTAACCCAGAAATAATGCTTCAGGTTAAGAACGTTGCTTCAGGATGAGAACAGAAATCGTGCTCTTGTGGCGTGGTGGCAGCAGGAGGTCCCATTAGCTAAAGTAGTGCTTCAGGTTAAGAACAGTTTCAGGTTAAGAACAGACTTCCGGAACGAATTAAGTACTTAACCCGAGGTACCACTGTACCTATGACTACACCTTTTTAACAATATTTCCCCACCTCTCATCCCCCTACTTCCCACCACCGTCCGCCTTATCGCTTAAATATTCCTTCCAGATTTCTTCATATTTATGCATTCTTAATTTGCGTCAACATGCAATTTGTTCGTATGTGGCTAGTCCTTATTGTCAATCCATGTGCTCAATGGAATCTTTTTGCGGCTCTTCCAATTCATCAGAACAAGTTTCTTTGCTTCTAATATGGCACGGTGCAGCCATTTTTTTTGACGAACTGGAGTGCTTGGTACGAAATGAGACGATTGGAATAGTGGGCATATCGGGAACCTGGCAGAACACAGAATAAGTTTAGTACAGGATTATCCAAAGGAGAAAGTGGTTTAATAATGGGCGATAGCAACTATCTTGCCACATGGAACACATATTTTTGAGATAGCAACTAACTCTGTCACATCGCTTGGATAAATATACACAGCTTTTCCAGATACACAGCTTTTCCAGATAGTTTAAATGACTGCTACTGTGGACCATCTGGCTAAGGAAATTATTAGATAACCTAAGGAGAGTTTTGCCCACATAGCAGTCTGCTCCCACGGTGGCCAACTTGATGCGTCTGGGAGGCCTACCCCCCCTCCCCAAAAAAAGAAATTGGGGGGTGTGGCATTCTACCTCTCCAAATTCCCAGAAACTGATATTCAACGAAGTATACAGCCTCTGACCCTGGGTGCAGTACAGTGGCACCTTGGTTCTAAAATTTAATCCGTTCCGGAAGACGTTCCAAAACCAAGGCACACTTTCCCATAGAAAGTAATGCAAACTGGATTAATCCGTTCCAGACTTTTAAAAACAACCCTAAAACAGCAATTTAACATGAATTTCACTATCTAACGAGACCATTGATCCATAAAATGAAACCAATAATCAATGTACTATACTATAAATAAAACAGTATTGTAGATTATAAAAATTAATATATTTTTTCTTACCTGCACTGATGATAGTCATTGTTTGGATGGGGGGGCTTTTATCCATTTCCACAGTCAATCAATCAATCAATCAATCAATCAATCAATCAATCAGTAGCTGAACTGTGAGCCACACAATCACAAAAACAAATTAACTGAAAAAGCCTCAAAACAAAAAATGCAAAATAAATAGCAAAAACAAAAGCACCAAATATAAACTCCAAATATCACCTCAGAACACTGCAATCAGAAACGGAAAGCTTGAATTACAATGGGGGGGGGGGACTCAAATTAGCAGCACAACAGGAAACACGGGGGGACTCAAAATGGAGCACATTCGGCTTCTGAAAAGAAGTTCGATAACCAGAACACCTACTTCTGGTTTTGCAGCGTTCAGGTTCCAAGTTGTTCTTGGACTAAGCTGTTCGAAAACCGAGGTGCCACTGTGTTGATATTATGAGCTATCTTTCAAGGGCTGTCCCATGGAAGATGGAGCAAGCTTGTTTTCTCCAGCTCTGGAGGGTAGGACTCGAACCAATGGCTTCATGTTACAATAAAGGAGATTCTGAACTAAACGTCAGGAATAACTTTCTGGCAGTAAGAGCTGTTTGACAGTGAAATGGACTCCCTTGGGAGGTTGTGGACTCTCTTTCTCTGGAGGTTTTAAAGCAAATGTTGGATGGCCACCTATTGGGGATGCTTTAGCTGAGATTCCTACACCGCAGGGGGTTGGACTAGATGACCCTCAGCGGACCCTTCTGACCCTACGATTCTGTGAAATGTTTAATACAGTACAGACACTCAGTTTGTTCAGGAGACCTATGTACCTTTTACAGTGCTTTGCTTTCAGAATTCGTTGTACATGGCACGGCTTCTTTACCAATTCATGAGAGGTAAATCACTACTAAGGGGGGGAAAACTCCCTCAGGTAATTAGTAGGCCTGTCACTAAAGAAAACTTAGTTGATTAATCTTATAAGTTGCAGCTGATTAACTGATTAATCAAAATATTTCTGAATTTGCATATGGGGGGAACCAAAACTAATGAAACAAAGCATACTTCTTTTGCTTCCAAATGGGGTGTGTGTGTGTGTGTGTGTGTGTGTGTTTGCGCATGCATCACGAAGACATCTGAAGGCAACCCTGTTTAGGGAAGTTTTAAATGTTTGACGTTTTACCGGGTTTTTAATATTCTGTTGGGAGCCACCCAGAGAGGCTGGGGAAACCCAGCCAGATGGGCAGGGCATAAGTAATAAATTATTATTATTATTATTATTATTATTATTATTATTATTATTTCTTCGTAGAAGCAGCACCTCCACCCCTTTCTCATACAATACAAATAAAACGCCTCCGATAAGAATTGCCTTTCAACTCATGCCTTGCCATTTTCTCTCTTAAATACCTGCCAGCTAAGATTCCACTTCATGGATCTGACAAAGGGATCTTGAATCCCTGAAAGCTTATGCCACGATGAATTTCTTAGCTTTTAAGGTGCCACCAGATCCTTTGTACTTGCTGCTGCAAGAGACTTAACGCTAACAAAGATGCTTGTTTGAGACTAACGAGAGACTAATTTCCTCTCTGGAAATGCTAATAAGACAGGGTTTGTTTGCCATCTTCAGTTTTTGTACGCACTTGTATTTAAAAATAAATCAAAATCCCCTGCTGATTATTTGGTCTTTTCTAGTCAATGAAATCGCAGCTGATTAATTGAATATTGCACTCTTAATAGTTCGGCTCAGTCTGTGGAAACACCGCCTCCTGCACAATTCCCAGCTCTTTCTAACTTCCCCCTTGCTGGTTCTGCAGTTGCATTTCTTCATCTTAAAAGGCACAAGTAGCAAATATTCATCTCTCTAGGGAAAGCTGGCATTTGACTCACTGGAGATGTGCTAGTGTCCACCATCTCTTACCAGCATCTACCATATTTTTCGCTCTATAACACGCACCAGACCATAACACGCACATAGTTTTTAGAGGAGGAAAACAAGAAAAGAAATATTCTAAACGAAATAGTGGATATATGATTTTTTGTGGTTCATGCTGTGGCCACAGACATGTGATCTGACAGTGAGTTTGGAGTAGCCCAATGCAAAAATCCTGAGGATCCATGTGGATCCATGCTTTGTAACCACGGAGGAGGGAAGGAAGGGGAACCATGGATCCTCTGCTCACGACTGCAGCAGATCCCCCCGCCACCCGCAGGCATTCGCTCCATAACACGCACAGACATTTCCCCTTACTTTCTAGGAGGAAAAAAGTGAGTGTTATGGTGCAAAAAATACGGTAAGTGCTGTTTTGTAAAATAATAATAACAACAATAATAATAATATCTCACATCCTTCCATGTATTAATCCCCATCTTTTCGATATTTTAAGATGAAATGGATTTCCCTTTTCTTGCAGGGGGCTCTGTCAGGGTTCCTCTGCATTGTGAGCTTTGCAGCATTTCCCTCTCTAAATTCCATGGGATATAAAACTCCCTTTCCCCAGGGAAATGAAGAGTAGACAATCATCCCTCTCTTTCCTTGGGTCCAGGCGGGCTTTATTTGCCCAGCCCTCGAGGCATGTGTGTCACAGTACACTGTCTTGCCTCATGAGCGGCTGCTGAGCTCGTTATCCTTGAAGCAGACACAGTTGACATTGCTTCATTAGCCTCATTAGCAGGTTGCTGTGGTGCCAGGCTTTGAAGGCTTTGTATTAATTTACATGCAAACACATATTGGGGAGGGTGAGTTGACACTGCGTCCTGGAATGGGGGAAAGAAGCTGGGGGTATGCTTTGTTTAACCTTAAAAGCAGAGGCCCTTGCAGTTCTGTGCTAAGGCATTCGGAAATTCTGCAACCGCAAAGCCCCTAATCACACCATGGTAAGGAGCGAATGTTACTGTATGCATAATACAGTTCATTCTTTTTTAAAAAATGGCATTCAGATTTTATTTTATTTTACGGTGGTACCTTGGGTTACAGACGTGAACTTCAGGTTACAGACTCCGCTAACCCAGAAATAGTACCTCGGGTTAAGAACTTTGCTTCAGGATGAGAACAGAAATCGCATGGCGGCAGTGGGAGGCCCCATTAGCTAAAGTGGTACCTCAGGTTAAGAACAGTTTCAGGTTAAGAACGGACCTCCAGAACGAATTGAGTTCTTAACCCGAGGTATCACTGTATTTTTGTAAATGGCTGGAGCAGGGAGTGCTGGGACTTAACAGAAAATCATGATGTGGATGAGTGTACAAGAAGAGGAGAGGAACTCAGAGCATTGATAAAGTACAGTACAGTCGCACCTCGGAAGTCGAACAGAATCCGTTTCGGAAGTCCGTTCGACTTCCGAAACGCTCGGGAACAAAAGCACGGCTTCTGATAGGATGCTCCTGCAGCCAACTGGAAGCCGCAGAAGCCCTGTCAGATGTTCAGCTTCCAAAAGAACGTTTGAAAACTGGAACACTCACTTCCAGTTTTCGATTGTTCGGGAGCCGGAACATTCGACTCCCAAGGTGTTCTGGTGCCAAGGTACGACTGTGGGAAATCCCATTCTAAAGTCTCAGTGGTTTTCCAGGGCTGCAATCCTATGCATACTTTTTTATAAAGCCCTACATGGCTTGCGTCCAAGCTATTTAAAATACTAGATTTCCCTCATACAAACCTGCCTGAGATCTTTGGGGAGGCCCTTCCCTTGGTCCCACCACCCTTACAGGGTGGGGATGCAGGACAGGGCCTTCTCAGTGGCTGCTCCCAGACTGCAGTACTCCTTCCCTAGTGAAGCTAGACTGGTTCCCTCCATGTTGTTCTTCCACCGACAAGTCAAGATTATTTTTGTTCCAACAGGATTTTGGGAACCGACTGCTTTTAATTAAAGGGCTGATGCCAGGCTGTTTTTATAGAAATTATTTGTTATGTTATAAATATATGATGATGGTGATGATAATTGGGAGTAAACCCTACTAAATATGAACAAGATTGCAGCCTTTTTTCTTTTCTTTTCTTTTTAAAGTAATAGACAAGTTTGTTTGGTCTTATCTCCTCAGCCATTACCTACCACTTAATTGGTTTTTTGCATCCTTTAAATATGCAAATTATTTCACAATCCTTTTCTCATCTGGGGGTTACCAGATTTTCAACTGGCCAGTGTGCAGTTAACAGTTGCTTGGTGTGCAGACAGACACACTGTGAAAAATTATGCCTGCTGGTTTCTGCACCTCGTTGTTGCTGTTAAAAGAAAGCAGGAGAGGAGGTTAGAACATGTTATCCTAAAACAACAGCCCTGCAAGACAGATCATGTGTGTTTATTTAAAGAGACATGCATGCAGGTATGTTTCCTATGCCCATGGAGCAAATTTCAGCTTTAGAGAGATAATTTAAGCGAGGAGAATAAAGATAAAGGTACCCCTGACCATTAGGTCCAGTCGTGGCCGACTCTGGGGTTGCGGCGCTCATCTCGCTTTATTGGCTGAGGGAGCCGGCATACAGCTTCCGGGTCATGTGGCCAGCATGACTAAGCCGCTTCTGGCGAACCAGAGCAGCGCACGGAAACGCCGTTTACCTTCCCGCTGGAGCGGTACCGTACTGAAGAGCAAAAAGGTTTCTCCGGAACTTCAGGTGCATTCTGGTTCCCCTCTCCCTTGGGCCGCTATAATTTATTTCTTTTCAAAAATGAGATTCTGATCCATCACATCTAGCAGCTTGTGCCCTTCTGCATTGTTCAGGCAGGAAGTGCAAGCTGCGAGAGTCTTTTCTTCCTCAAGGCCATCTTGTAAATTCATGGCTGAGCAAGGATTTGAGTCCGTTTCGATCTCCCAACTTACTGGACCATAAGGAAGAGACTGCCTCTTCGTCTCTGGATTCTTCACACTCTGCTTGAGAGAGGTCCCCACGTTCCAAGCTTATTCTCGGGTTTTGCTGTCCCAAACAATTTTTGGTGGCTCTGTGCCCCCCTGGTCTAGAAGGAACCCCACGCAGTGGCTCTGTGCAAGCTGGTCCATTAGGCCTCTGCGCTCCAACCTCTGTCTGCCCTCAGCCAGCCGCTACCTGCCTGGCTGTAGGCCTTCTCTTTCATTAATCTCAGCTTCGCCCATGGTTGGGGCAGAGCCCTACGCGTGCCAAGGGGCCAGCCCCTGTCACTGCTTTCTTTTGTGACCTTACGTAATTTCCTCTCATCAATTCCAGTAGGTTTCTCACCTTTCCTTTCTCTTGGGATGCTTAAGAAAGCGCTGCTCCCCTTGACTCATTCTCCCCCCAATTAAAAAAAATCCCGATAAAATATTAGCTGCACAAAAGCTCCTTTTTGGGTTTGGAGGAGTGAGACTCATCCCTTGTCCCTGACACTCCCAGCATCTTACAGCACCTCTGTAATGAGTCACGCGAGCGAGACACACACAAACACCCCACCTTCCACGCTGCCGCTGTTGACGGATGGGTCTGTTAGCGGCTGTGGCCCACGTCCCCTCCTGCCAGCTCCGTGGAGATTTATGCCTTTAATATCCCCAGCCGTACAAGGGTTCTCACAGCAGTGAAGCAGCCCCCAGGACAAGTCAGCGTGCGGAAGGGACTTCGTGCACCAAGAGTCTTAGTTAACAGCCTGAAATGCAGCAGACAGTGGCTGGGAGACGGGGGGGGAGGAGAAGGGAACGAGGCTTGCTTCACAGTCAACCTTTTTCCTGTGTGGATATTCTTTGGGTAGTAAGGGGAAAGTGTCTTATGTCCTTATGTGTAATGAGCGCATGCATGTGCAGTGAAACATGCGCACAGGTATGTGTGTTAAGAGAGGGGGAAGGCTGTAGCTCAGTAGCGGATTTGTTCAGCTTGTTTACAGACAATCTGGGGTTCAATCTCTGCCATCTCTAGTTGTTGGTATGTTTTTTCCTTGAGGATTAGCTAGCAGGTCATGGGAAAGACCTCCCATGTTTTGTAAGATCCTGCACACCTGCCGCCATCCAGAATAGGCAGCGCTAAGCTACGTAGACAGATAACCTGATGATACAAGTAAAAAAACTCCTTTTTCCTTATGAGGTACCCAAGAGCCCATACAGAGTCCTTTTGTAGGTTCTCTATCAGTAGGAGAAAATAACAGCGACCAACCAGAGAATATTGAGAAGCGAAGCAGCTAGTAAGCCTCATCTTTATTAACTGTTGCAACAGGGTGCTCCCCGACATATAGACATTTTAAATTGCCCGCCCTGGAGTCCAAGACCACCCCAGAAACATCATACATACATCACAGAAGGGGTGTAGCCCAAGACCACCCCCCAGATACATCATACCTACATCACAGAAAAGGCGGTCTACAACAGAAATCTGAGTGCGTTGTTTATCTCCTGTCTGGCAAGTTACCTGATTGCATTATCTGGATTTTGGCCACTCTTTTGTTATTATAACTACTTAATTCCTGAATCTAGGTCACAGGCTCACACCATATCTTGAATGTGCCCTTAAGATTTGTAAGGACAGGATTTGTGAGGAAAGAGACAATGGGGAGGTTTTCCACTTTGACCTTGCAGGGAAATATTTGAGGTCAATTTGTTCAAGACCTTTTCTGTGGGGTTTCAGACATGTGGTTTATATATACAGTTATGAACATTTTTTTTTTTATACGTGACCTTAAAATTCTTATAACACTGATCTTGTACAAGGTTGCTTCCCTATGTACACATGTCCACACACAAGCTTTTTTTTCCTACATGGAAGCAATAGTCGTGTCAGGAAAAAAACATCATGTATGAAGCTACCTAATAGTACTGCCACTATCCTGCAGTCACAGCTTTTCACTCCCCATCTAGCTCTTGCCTAAGACATGGCCACACTGAGCCAAACCAGTAGCCCACCCAGTTAATATGGACAAATGAAGCTGTTCTTAAACCAGTGGACCAACTCTGTATATCTGGTCAGGGTGTGCATCAGATTTGGACAAATCTTGAGCTGAGACAGGGTGCTTCGAGGGGTTTAGGGGCAGGATTGATAGCGGGTTTTCCCAATCTTGGGTCTCCCGCTGTTTTCGGACTACAACTCCCATCATCCCTAGCTATCAGAACCAGTAGTCAGGATTAATGGGAATTGTAGTCCAAAACACCTTGGCACCCATGGTTGTAAACCCTGATCTATATGAAGCTGCATGGGAAGGTGGCGCTGTGGGTTAAACCACAGAGCCTAGGACTTGCCGATCAGAAGGCCGGCGGTTCGAATCCCTGCGATGGGGTGAACTCCCATTGCTTGGTCCCTGTGCCTACTCACCTAGCAGTTCGAAAGCACATCAAAGTGCAAGTAGAAAAGTAGGTACCACTCTGGCGGGAAGGTAAACGGCGTTTCTGTGCGCTGCTCTAGTTCGCCAGAAGCGGCTTAGTCATGCTGGCCACATGACCCGGAAGCTGTACGCTGGCTCCTTCGGCCAATAAAGTGAGATGAGCGCCGCAACCCCAGAGTCGGCCACGACTGGACCTAATGGTCAGGGGTCCCTTTACCTTTATCTTTATATGAAGCTGCATGAGTTGAAGCAGGGTCCCCTGAAGTGCTTCATTGTGTCTTGATGATTCAGTGGTGGTGGTGGTGGTGAGCTTTGCAGAAACCAAAAGTCATTTCTCTAGCTTAAGGAAAATGCCAGACTGAGGCAAGGGGGGTGGGGGTGAAATGTTCTCCTTTGCATCTGACAGGTATAGCTTGTAATCAGATGTATTTATTTCGCAAGTGCTCTCCAACCCCAATGCTTTGGGGAAAGGAGCATCTTTGCAAGAGCAGAACTTGCATCTCTAAGTCATTGGCATGGGTGGAGAGCTGCTTCACAACTGACAGACCTAGCTCATGATCAGAGCGAATGGTTTTACCCAGGAAGCAAATCCCTTTTAGTTCTTCCCACCCCAAAATCAATGGTAAAGGCACTTAGCACAAAAGTCCCTGGGGCTATTTGACTGCAGTTTGGCAGATTTCTTATCCAGAGGGGCACCTCTCACTAATGCCTGTAAATTTCATTTTAATTCTTTACAAAACACGTGGGAAGTTTAAGTGATTCCTTTTTCACCCTAAAACTGTAAAAGCTGCCCTTGCAGGAAAATCACTGTACCTATCTATCTGAAATTTGGCGGTATCTGCTCTCAAAAGTGGCAACCTTGCCTGCAAAGGTTATGTAATTGAAATACTTTATTGTCACTTGTACAACTTGTATACAGTGAGATTACACGAGCACCCCTCCACTCTGCTCTCTTAGTCTTAATTCCCCTCGTTTACTGACGCACACCCACCAAACCCAAAAGTCAGTTGCCCTGTTGTTATCTTTTCATTCAGCAGCCTAACAGCCCACGGATAGAAGCTGTTCTTTACCCTGTTGGTGTGACTAATCACGCTTCTATATCTTCTGCCCGAGGGCAGGAGATCAAGAAAGTGCCGGCCAGGGTGTGAATCATCCCTGAGAATTTTCCTCACTCTCCTGAGGCAACCTTCTTCCGCAATGTCATCCAGTGGATTCATGGGACAGCCCATAATATCTTGTGTTGTATTCACCACCCTCTGTAGGCACTTCCTATCAGTTGATGTCAAACTAGCGTACCACACCGTGATGCAGTATGAAAGGACACTTTCTATTGTGGACCAATAGAAGGAGATGACCAAATGTTGATTGACATCATTCTTTGAGGAGATGGAGTCTCTGTTGGGCTTTCTTAACCACCTAGGTTGTATAGCTTTTCCAAGTAAGGTATTCACTGAGATAAACTCCTAGGAATTTAAAGGAAGAGACTCTCTCCACACAGCCCATACATACATACATACATACATAAATTCTGCCCATAAATAAATATTGAAGTGTTGTTTTTCCCCCTTAGTCTTTTATTTTCTTCCAAAAGGTGTCTTGCACAATAGCCCCTGGGCCTATATGTCTGAAATTTGGCAGGCTTTATCCACTTTGTAGGCACTAGTGTGCCTACAAATTTTATCCACTTCTGCTGAAAGGGGAGGGAGTTAAAGCCTTTTTTTAAAAAAAAAATCCAAATAGTGAATTAAGGGTGGATTGGGGGAGAGAAACTAACAGGATTTGTACAGACTCAGAACAAAATCAGACAGCCTACAAAGCAAGGTGAGCTGTTTCCCCAAGGCACTAAATCATGGTCCGAACTGAATCTAGTGGATGGTGCACACTCCTACTATTTTAGCCTGGTGCTGCCTATTCTGCATGGTAACCTGACAACTGCGTTTTGTGGTAACCAAAGTTTCTGAGAAGTCTTCAAAGGCAGCTCTGCATACAGTAGTCCATTGTCAGTAGTTCAGTCTAGAGATGACCATGGTGTAGATAGATGTGGCCAGGCCAAAGCTATCTTATGCAAGCAGCCATTACAAGACTGCAGTAATGGGAACTTTGCTAAATAGCAGCAAAAGTCAAAATGAAAACATCAAGAGGGAAATTATGCAAATTGTGAATGTAGGTGTGGATTCATTAGATGGCCCTGCCACCCGGTTAATTAGGTGGCCCATAGCTGTCAATTAAATCAAGGATTATGCCCATGTGTATCTATCAAAGTAGCCTCTGAATGTTTATGATGCAGTATATTTGTTAGGTTTTAAGGTGCTACAGGGTTTCTTGTTTTTGCCCTCTAGCCTTCAGGTCATCAATCCCACTGTGGAATAAGGTTCTTTGTATAGAGCAGGGTGCAGCCCTTCTTCCTTCCTCACTTCTGCCCCCATCTTGAAAAGCCTGCCGCTGACTCCTGCACATCTGAGCATTCAGAGCCTGTTCTGCTTGGTTATTGTGGTAACTACCTTCTGATGCATATGGGACGCGGGTGGCGCTGTGGTCTAAACCACAGAGCCTAGGGCTTGCCGATCAGAGGGTCGGCGGTTCAAATCCCCGCGACGGGGTGAGCTCCCGTAGTTCGGTCCCTGCTCCTGCCAACCTAGCAGTTCGAAAGCACGTCAAAGTGCAAGTAGATAAATAGGTACCTCTCAGGCGGGAAGGTAAACGGCGTTTCCGTGCGCTGCTCTGGTTCGCCAGAACAGGCTTAGTCATGCTGGCCACATGACCCAGAAGCCGTACGCCGGCTTCCTCGGCCAATAAAGCGAGATGAGTGCCGCAAACCCCAGAGTCATCCGCGACTAGACCTAACGGTCAGGGATCCCTTTACCTTTTACCTTCTGATGCAGTACATGCCACCTGGACCCAGTCCAGCAGGTCACCCAAGCCTAGTGTTCCACCAGTAGGTGCCTTCCTCACTATCCCCTGTCCCTTGGTGTGGAAGTGCCCTTTAATGGCACAGGGACAAGAGCTTGAGCTAAGGTGCTAGCACCGCCCCCGATGATGCCCAGAGATGGGCCCCCGATGATGCCCAGAGATGGGACCCAGCTGTGGCTTGAGTACTCCAGTTGTGCCTTCTGTTGGCATCAGCAGTTCTCTTCATTCCCAGGTGCTTAATACCATCGCACAGAACTGGAGGCTGTTGGTGGATTTGATCCCAGCCCCCACTACAGATTTAGGAAAAACCAATCCTGGGTGAATCCACGTTTCGTTAGCTTTGCTTTCGGTCAAGGGGAGGGGATTTCTGCCTGCCTCTTTGGAATTTTATAATGCCGGGAGGTAAGCGCTGCTTGCAGCCTTTATTGGAGTTGGCCTGGCATAGCTTGCAGCCCTTGCCCCAGGCTTCTTGGGAGCCTTCTGCAGAATTATACCTGGATCAAAATTTATGCCTTGCGCAGCCATTTTATGAGCCAAATCTGCTTTGATCCTCTTGAGTTTGGTTGCCAGTTTCCAGCAGTGCACCCTTCTCCCCTGACGATGCTGGTTAAACACCTTCCTCGTCTGCACGATTTCAGAGTGTGGCAATTTCATTCTCATTCCTTCCGAGTGTGCCGTGCTCTGCCTGCAGCCCCTCCGCCCTTGTCTAGCAGTGCACTTTACACAGCTTGCAAAATCGGGATGCCTTGCATCTTGGTTTCTCCTGCAGCTTTTATCTTTTGAATAGGATCTTAATCTTCCTGCCACTCCAAGGTTCGCAGCAGTGCCATTTTTATTATTATTTTGCCTCTCCATTGTCTGCAGAGCATCTGCGATGTTGTTCCATTTTCAAATCCAGCTTTCTAACAATTTCTCTCTGCATCAGTTCATATGTTCCATATGCTTTCACACTGCCACAGTTCTTTCCCGTTATTGAAAGGTGAAATAAAATGCTATTGAAGCGTGCAGGAGAAAGGCTGTAGCTCGTTGGATAGAGCATCCGCCTTGCATGTAAACGCTCCCAGGCTCAGTCCCCAGCGTCTCCAGGTAGGGGCTGGGAGACCAACCTGCCTGAAGCCCTGGAGAGCTGCTGCCAGTCTGTGTAGACAGTACTGAGCTAGATGGAGCATTGGTCTGACTTGGTATACAGCACAACAGCTTCCTATGTTCTTGTCTGCAGGCAGTACTGCTGGGCATCATGCTAATTACACTGATTACCTGGGGCCTGCTGGGAAATGGACCTTAATCCACCCTTCACGCAGGACAACTTTTCTTCCAGTTGGTTGGAGGGCAAGAGACTCTAGTCCAGGGCTGCACACTAAGCCTGTGCCAAAGCTGTGAATTAAAAAAACACAAATAACTACTCTATCAGAATGAGCAGGGATTCTTCCAGTGGAAATCTGGGACCTTATTGCCACTGGCCGCCATTGAATCAATTGCTATGTATTGTGGGGAACTGGTTGAGTTTTCACACGTCAGGCAGACAGCATCAAGGCCAAAACGGAACAGATAGCCTTTGAATGAAGCAAAGAGCCCAGCCTGAAGAAGGTTAGTCAAACAGAGTGGCCCTGCCTTTCGGGACATGATGATGAGCAGAACGCTTCTGAGTCAGGCTACATAAGGCTCCCAGTTCATCAGGGCCTGGACAGTGCCACAAATTGGCAGAGGAAGGATGAAAAGAAGGTGTGTAGTATAAAAGAAAAATAGCAAATTATTCAGTTATGGTGTGATCTGCCCAACTTTTTCCTGGCATCACAGCTGAAACAGAAGCATGAATACCTTCTAAGCAAGTGCTGGTCCAGCCATCAGCCTGGCCTCTTTACCTTCATTCCATGACAAATGAATGTCGTCATCCCCACCAATTCATTATTTGCCTTATTAATGGAAAGGAAAGGCTTTTTCCTAATGTGTAAAACTGCTGGGGGTAGGGAATGGGGGAGTGACGAGGCTTCAGCATGGGGAGCAGTTACTTAGCATACATAGTCATATCCTGCTTTAAATATGCAGAATTGTCCCTTGAGTTTAGCACTGGAGAGGTAAAGGTGTACTTCAGTTTAAGGCAACGAGGGCTTATCCATACTTTACCTTTCCTCCACTTTTTCCAGGCACGGTCCACACTTAAAAGCTGAGTGAGCGTTTTTCTGTTGCTCCAGAACTTTCCCCACAAAAAAACCACTCTTTAAAGCTCAATCGGAGCAAACAGCAATCCACAGAAAACCCAAATTGACATTTGTTCCAATTGAGCACTAAAGAGCAGATTTTTGCAGGGAGAGCTCCAGGGTTTAACAACAACAACGAGCGCTCAGACACTCAGCTTTTAAGTGCAGACCCGTGCCTAGGAAGAGTGGGGGAAAAGGTAGGTATGTGTAAATAAGCTCTCAGCGTGCTTCCCACAGACGCCCACTGCTTTAAAAACACTGCACATCTTCTAACACACCGGTTTGACTCCAGCCCAGAGACGCACTCAATTGTCTCTCAAGACAGACGGATGCCAATGACTTTGCTTTAAATTGCCTTCTGTGTCCAATAACCAGTGGTGTGGTGGAAAAGGAAGACTAGGGGAGAGCAGCGCTCTAGGAAGTTTTTCTGAGCAGGAGTGGTGATGCCATCTGCCAGAGCACTGGGGGTAACCACGGGATCCTCCTTGTTCTGGCAAGTGAATAAGGCAATAACAAGACTTTCCAATTGGGTTGTGGTTCAGATCAGCATAGAGGAAATCAGAGTGTGGAGAAAAATATGCAGACGCTGGGTACCCCTTCCTTATGGTGGGATTCCATTGCATCCTTCGCTGTGGGCTTAAGGGGCTGCAAGTTCCCTGGGGGCATTGCTCCACTGCAGAAGGCACCTGCATGGGCTGTGTTCTGTTGCTACGGCCGTGCTTGGAGTTGTGCTCTGGGATGGATGTGGGATGTTCCTTTGCCCTGCAATGCTTTGCAACGCAGCTCCCTTTTTCTTTGGTTTTTCCTTTCCCCACCGCTACTCCCATCTCGATGTGCACATATTTCATATTGCAGCCAGATGCTCAAGAGCAGCTGTCAGCAGCCCTAGGCAAAGCAGCTGTGCACAGGACAGTGCCTTCTGCTTTGGGGTCATTAGGCTGTTTTCCTTTGGCCTGTTCCAGCAGGTCCTTTCCCCCCCTAATGCAATTTAAATAAAATGCTCATAGGCTTACTTTCTCCAATCATCTACTTCCAGGATTCAGTTCTTCAGGCAGTAGAAAGTGATGGATTGATTGCAAAGAACAAGTAGACGTTACATGTGCTTTAACCAGCTTTTATAGCTTTATTGCTGGTTTTAATTAGTTTTTGAGCATTTTTAAATAACTGTATTACATTGATAAATTTAATGGGGATTTTTTTTTTTTGTTCATCACTTTGAAGTTTTATTAAAATCAAGCATTATATACACGTTGTTAAATAAAACAAAAACAGATGAAGAAGGGAATGACAAATGGCAAGAAGACTCAGATTAGAAAGGAGATACAGTATTGATTAGCGGGGCTGTTCAGAGCAGCCTCTTCAGGGTTAATTCTTTTGCCGTAGGAGGGGGAGGGGGGAACCAACGTCCATTTTGCAAATTGGCAGGCTGGGAAGAAATAGGAAAAGGAACAGCTGAGGCAGAATTCTTCCAGGACTGAATCAAGCCAAGCTCTTGAGTACAATTCATGAGCCTACTAGACTGCTTTTGCCAAGTTTAGGATTGCACTGTTAATCAGTTTGAAGTGTTTCCATTAATCAGCATGTTCTACTCTGTATATCTGAGGAGTTCATTCCTACACACTGTAGAGAGAAGTTCTGCATGCACACACACTATACATTTAAAAGCACATTCAAAGCACATTTACCCCTCAAAGAATTATGGGCATTGTAATTTGTTAAGGGTTACTGGGAATTTTAAATTGGTGAGTGGTAAACTCCAGTGCCCAGAAATATTTGGGTGAAAGAATGTGCTTCAAATGTGATTTAAATGTACACAGCTACCTCTGGGCCTGTAATTCCATAAGCTTTGAGTGGGTAACGTGGTCCTCTGAATGTCATTGGACTCTTACCTCCTGGCTTCCCAGTCAGCATGACCAGCAGTCAGGAAAGATGGAAGTTGCAGTCCAATGACATCTGGAACGCCACAGGCTCCCCACAACTGAATAAAAAGCACCAAAGTTCTTCAAGGCCCTGAAACCCCCTATCTAAAACTTTCTTAAAAATAACAAAACTATGCAGAGATTCTCATGAACTTTGCTCAAGTACATTGACAATAATCTGACTTTGAGTAGGAAACTCATATGGTATGATATGCACCATTCTCAAAATCTGCTCTTTAACAAATCCTGTGGCTGGAGAATGTTTGTTGTGGTAGTGAGCTGGTGGAGAGGCAGAGAGGCTTTGAGTCCCGTCCCCCCCACATCTGTGCAGGAGGGAGGAAAAACCATGGGGCAAATAATAACAATAACAATAATATTTGTACCCCACCCATCTGGCTGGGTTATCCCAGCTACTCTGGGTGGCTTCCAACAGATATAAAAACATAATAAAATAGCAAACATTAACAACTTCCCCATATGGGGCTGCCTTCGGATGTCTTCTAAAAGTCAGATACAGTGGTACCTCGGGTTACATACGCTTCAGGTTACAGACTCCGCTAACCCAGAAATATTACCTCAGGTTAAGAGCTTTCCTTTAGGATGAGAACAGAAATCGTGCTCCGGCGGTGCGGCAGCAGCAGGAGGCCCCATTAGCTAAAGTGGTGCTTCAGGTTAAGAACAGTTTCCGGTTAAGAACGGACCTCCGGAATGAATTAAGTACTTAACCCGAGGTACCACTGTAGTTGTTTATTTCCTTGACATCTGATGGGAGGGTGTTCCACAGGGTGGGCACCACCACCGAGAAGGCCCTCTGCCTGGTTCCCTGTAATTTCACTTCTCGCAATGAGGGAACCACCAGAAGGCCCTCGGAGTTGGACCTCAGTGTCCGGGCTGAATGATGGGGGTGGAGACGCCCCCTAAGGTTATACTGGCCCGAGGCCGTTTAGGGCTTTAATTGTCAGCACCAAGACCTTGAGTCGTGCTCCGAAATGTACTGGGAGCCGATGTAGATCCTTAAGGACTGGTGTTATATGGTCCCGGTGGTTGTACAAGTGGCATTTCCAAATGTTAGCACGCTGGGGTGTATTTGTGCTTTGCTGTGCGTGCTTAGTCACCCTTCTCCTGTTCTACATGACAAGGAAATCATATTCCCCCTCTGGGTCAATGTCAAAGGCATTTTATTGGCAGGAGAAAGAAGACAAGTGTTCCCGGAATTTAAGGGGTAAATTCTTTTTTTGCTCTGGAATATGTCAACACGATGCCTGGAACACAGCCATCCCCAGGGACCTGACCTGATGGGTGGTTTGTTTTTGGTTTTTTTTAAGTTTTAAAGGTTCCTTTTCCATCTCTGACTCAGTAACAGGCACCTGCTGTTGGATAATGCTATATCCATTGCCTGCTTCTTTCTCCCAGGATTGCGCATTAAAAATAATTATTCTCCCAATCCATCTATTTGAGGAAGTTTCTTTCGTGCTTTGGGCGAATTGTTGCAGGAAGGGTGTGTGTGTGATACCTGGCTCAGTCAGGACCAGACTAATGGTGAGGTCTGGAGATGTCAGGTCTGCTGAATTATTATTATTCTTTTGTTTAAGGCTGGGCTGTTTGTGCCAATATGTATTGTGGAGAAAGGTGGGATTAACCCTTTCCCCTCTCACTGTTTTTTCCATTTAATCACCCCAGTCCTGAATTTGTTTCTATCCTGCAAGTGAAGGGGCAGTGGGGAATTCTGGTACCTTTATGCAATCAGACAGCATAATCAGAGATTCGAGGACATGATTTGTGCCTGGCGTTCTCTCTCCTTCCCACTTTCCCGCATTTATACATGCTCAGTTATTACTAGGTGTGAGCGTGCCTTAAAGTCCACATATTTCACTATAGCAGAGCCATTTTCTACCGTAGCAGTTCTGTGCCGTTTTATTGCAGCACACAAAACTGACAGTAGCTTTGATTCGTCCCCCCCGCCGATAATTCAGAAGTTGTCATTTTAATTGGCGGCCTCGTGATTTGAGCGTTTTCGAGATTTGATTGCTGGCTTGTTTTGCTTCTTGAGTCACTGGGAGTTGCTTGGCGCCCGGTGGGGATTAAATGTATATATGAGTGGATTGTGTTTTGATTAGCGCTAGTTTTGTTTTTAATTATCTAGCGCATGGCGGGTGGGAGGGACAGGACACACACACGCCAGGAGTCTTGAGTGCTTCGGTTTAAGAGAATGTTACAGATGGAAAGTGTCCGTCCCCCCCTTGTTTATTTATTAGATGTCTCACCTGCCCTTCATCACAAGGTCTCTGGGCAAGATACAGCAACGGAATATAAAATTATAAAAACAAATAAAACCATTGCGGCTATAAAGACACGTAAAACAGCACAATATTTAGTACAGTGGTACCTCAGGTTACAGACGCTTCAGGTTACAGACACTTGAGGTTACAGGCTCTGCTAACCCAGAAATAGTACCTCGGGTTAAGAACTTTGCTTCAGGATGAGAACAGAAATCATGCTCCGGTGGCACGGCAGCAGCAGGAGGCCCCATTAGCTAAAGTGGTGCTTCAGGTTAAGAACGGACCTCCGGAACGAATTAAGTATGTAACCCGAGGTACCACTGTATATGTTGTGTCCGACATCTTCCTTTCCACTGCAGCAAATCAGGCTGCCACCAGCTACATTTGGGTCTCAAAGCTGGCACAAGTGAGCGCAGTTCACACTTGGCCAACGTGTCAACTCTCGTGATACCTGTGCCATGTTGAACTTTCACTGGATTTCTGCAGGGATCATGAGACACACCGAACCCTTCTATTTCCCCCTTGATATGGAACTTGATGCTGAGCCTCTGTAAAACCTCCCAGCCTTATTCCTCCCTTAAGGCAAGGCAGCCTCAGTCCCAGGAGCCAAATGCAAGCCTCTCTGGCCCTTGGAATTCTCCCCAGACCGCACAGCCCTCACTGGACTTGCTTCCTAAGAATGTTAAGAACAGCCTGCTGGATCAGACCATTTGCCCCTGTAGTTCAGCATCTTGTTCTCAAAGTGGCCAACCAGAGACCTATGGCTTATTGTTGAGCTCCAATTTTACATTTGTTGTTCTGCTTTTGCCTCTGGCCCCATCCTCCACTGCCATGTGGCCCTTGGAAGGTTGCAAAGAACAGAATGCGGCCCTCAGACTGGGGAAGGTTCCATGTCCACATGGCTTTAAAGAGCTGGAGCAAACCAGACTGCTAGTAGAACTGAGCTGAGTGAGCGTGCAGCCCGCTGGGTCGAAGGTCATTCTGAGTATACAAGCACAAACCTTCTTTGAGGACCCTAAAGTGTGAGGAGAGAGTTTGTGCCGCTGCAAGATGGCCTGTTGGAAGATTAGGTTACATTAAGCTGTAATTTCTTCAATGTCTTTCCACGCACAAAAACTAATAGTGCTCAGAGCATCTTACAATATAGGTAGCGGGTGGCGCTGTGGTCTAAACCACTGAGCCTCTTGGGCTTGCTGATCGGAAGGTTGGCGGTTCGAATCCCTGCGATAGGATGAGCTCCCATTGCTCTGTCCCAGCTCCTGCCAGCCTAGCAGTTCGAAAGCATACCAGTGCAAGTAGATAAATAGGTACCACTGTGATGGGAAGCTAAACGGCATTTATGTGCGCTCTGGCACTTGTCACGGTGTCCCATTGTGCCAGAAGCAGTTTAGTCATACTGGCCACGTGACCTAGAAAGCTGTCTGTAGACAAACGCCGGCTCCCTCGGCCTGAAAAGTAAGATGAGCGCCGCACCCCATAGTTAAGTTTGACTGGACTTAACTGTCCAGGGGTCCTTTACCTTTACCTTACAATATACAAAATGGACACAACAATAAGAATAATACATAAAAGCCCAGGAAGGGCTGGGGAAACACTGGCTCCAGAATCATTCAGTTGGTAGAGCATGAGACTCTTTAATTTCAGGGTTGTGGGTTTGAGCCCCCGGTTGGGCAAAAGATTCCTACATTGCAAGGGGTTGGACTAGCACCACAGTTCAAGAAGGACACTGACAAACTGGAACGTGTCCAGAGGAGGGCAACCAAAATGGTCAAAGGCCTGGAAACGATGCCTTATGAGGAACGGCTAAGGGAGCTGGGCATGTTTAGCCTGGAGAAGAGGAGGTTAAGGGGTGATATGATAGCCATGTTCAAATATATCAAAGGATGTCATATAGAGGAGGGAGAAAGGTTGTTTTCTGCTGCTCCAGAGAAGCGGACACGGAGCAATGGATCCAAACTACAAGAAAGAAGATTCCACCTAAACATTAGGAAGAACTTCCTGACAGTAAGAGCTGTTTGACAGTGGAATTTGCTGCCAAGGAGTGTGGTGGAGTCTCCTTCTTTGGAGGTCTTTAAGCAGAGGCTTGACAACCATATGTCAGGAGTGCTCTGATGGTGTTTCCTGCTTGGCAGGGGGTTGGACTCGATGGCCCTTGTGGTCTCTTCCAACTCTATGATTCTATGATTCTAGCTGATCCTCGTGGTCCCTTCCAACTTTACAATTCCACAATCTTCTACAAACACCTGTGCCTGAAACCCTGGAGAGCTGCTGCCAAAACTGAGCTGGATGGTCTGACTCAGCTGTAGAGATTTAATCTTGTTTTAAATGTATTTGGGTATTTTGTCTGTGTTTTTTATTGTTTTTTTTAACTGTTTTGAATTACCTCGTGTGTAAATTGCCTTAAGGTTGTGGTTTACAAATCCCGCTACAACTGAATGTGGCCATTGGCCATGCTCGCTGGGGCTCATGGGAGTTGTAGTTCAGCAACATCTGGAGCGGCAAAGGTTTCCCACACCTGCTTCAAATCATACTCACTTGGTGAATACAAGAGAGAGACCTTTTCTGCAGCAGCAACTCTCTCAGGAATTTCCTCCTCAGGGGGAATTTCTCTGCGCTTTTAAGCTTTGCTTGAAAACATTTTGATTTATGATTAGTTTTAAAGCTGTGTGTGCTGACTTGCTTTTCACAGATTTTCTTAGATTGGCTAGTGTAGGTGTTTGTGTTTGTGTTTGTGTATGTGTATGTAGGATATAAATCGATCCATCCATCCATCCATTCCTGAAAAACAAAAGCCTTACAACCATTCTGAGGCAGAGTTTCAAAATGACTTTTCGGGGCCATCTGCCGAGAATCTGATATCAAGATGCCCAGAAATATCTTTTTATTGGATTCTACAACTTTTTTGCCTTCCTTGGGGACTGCCAGCCAGCCAGTGTGTGCTAATGAGCAGAGTTGGACTAGAATTTGAGGTCCCTTCCCTGCCACAGGCATATTTGTGACCTTTGGGAAACCACTTTCCATCCCAGTTCCCCCTCTGTAAATTGAGAACGAAGAATGATAATACACGTATAGCGAACCACTTTACAAATCGAGGCGGCAAAATGCTATATATAAGTGATAAATGGTGGTACCAGGAACGCTTCCATGGGCTTCCAAGGAATTGCAAGATAAAATGGAAGAGGATGTTTAAATTGGCTTATTCTGTTTATATATAGAAGGCAATGAACAATTGAACCATAAAAACAATTACTGAAACAGAATGCCTGAACTGGAGCAAACGACAGCAGGAGAATAGTAACCGCCTCAGATATTAAGAGGTTGCACAAATAGATCGGCTTTTATTTAAATGTAGCTAGAGAGTGAGGGCTCGGTGGAAAACTTTTATGGAAGCTGTTCCAAAGCTGCAGTATCTCAAGTTACGAGGCCCTAAGACAGATACTGCAGTGGAAGTTCAAAGAAAGATAGCACCCGGAACAACATTATCATGTGAGGATTGGCAAGCAGTTTGTGTTAGGATTGTCCTACTCTCGTGTAGGACCCTGGCAGAGACACATGCCCGACTGGCATGTTCTATCCCTCCTGGTCGGTCGTTCGGGAGCTTCAAAACCTTTGTTCAGCCCGAACTTCACAGTGACTGATACCAAGAAGTATCAGCACACTGCAGAGTATTTGCAATTTGCATAACAGAACTCAGTAGCACAGCATTTTGGCTAATCTACATTTATTTACCTATACAGTCATGCCTCAGGTTACGAACACTGTGGGTAACGCGTTTTTGGGTTGTGGACTGTGCCAAACACGGAAGTACTGGAACGGGTTACTTCCGGGTTTCAACGCATGCGCAGAAGCGCCGAATCGCGTCACGCACGTGCGCAGACACGGCACTTCAGACTGCGGATGCTGCGGGTTGCGAATGTGCCTCCCGCACGGATCACATTCGCAACCAGAGGTATGACTGTAATACACTCAAAGCATTCTGCTTTAGCTCCTTCCTCTTTCTCACCAGACACCAAAGAGAGAAAGAACAAAGGACAATAGTCCCACTTCACAGAACACAGTAACACAAACATCCTGTCCCTGCCACTTCCCACACTGTGGAATGAAAACATACACCGTCATGTGATAGACAACAATCCCATGACTGCAAACACGGAGGAAGAATCCTAACAGTTTGATCATCAAGTTCCGGGTGGGTCACGTTAACAATGAGGAAAATACCCCAGTTCTGCTTTCCAGCCCCCATTTTTGACATACAGGGAATGCTGATTGCTGAACTTCTGACAGCAGGCTAATCTGTGGGGATTTTGTCTCAGCTAACCTGGTCGCTTGGCACGTTTGGTTTTCAGATTCCACTCCCCTGAAGTATAAGGATTTGGATAAGCTCCAGCATTAATTTTAGAGGGGGGTAGTGGTGGTGGTGGTGCCTAATTAGTAGCTTCTTCAATGTGTAGAACATTGAGAGCTTTCTCCTCTGATGCACTGATGGCTCCTCTGAAGTTTCCCAGCCCATTTATAATTAGTCCCAGGTATATATAACTGAACATTTTCAGACTCTCATTCTCTCTGTAGGGAAGGTAACATACAGCTTGTTCTTTGTGACTTGCAGTCTCCTGGTGTTCTTAACATTCTATTATGTAGAAAAGATGACGTTTTCTTTTCCTAGCTGAAAGAAATTTAGAATGAAAAGATGTAACGTTCTTTAAAAAGTCACTGTGGTTTTATTCACTGTGGCTTCAGTTTCCTTATAGTGTACATAATATTTGCAAGTCATATGCTGGGTCAGCTCCCAGCATCACCCTTCATGTTTCAGAAAGAAAGGCATGTTTCATCTTTTAAAAATAGTTAACAAACAAACAAACATTCACATCTCACTTTACCAAAACAAAGCATCCCCTCACAAATATTTCAAAATCAGCTGCATAAATGCTGTAAGAATGATTTCTGGGGGAATAGGTTGATGATGTTGCAGGCACTAGCCAGTTAAACCCACCATGAACAGGTTTCCCTGGAAATGCCAGAAACTTACAAAATCAGTTTGTTTTTCTGAACGCATTCTACGATGCTAAAATGAAGGTGTGTTTTCAGGGTGTTTAACCAATCACCATCATAATTCGAATGCTGTGTCCATCTTTACTCTTAAAACCCATCAAAACTGGAATAGTCTAACCTGTTTTCATGTTGGTGTGGCAATTTAAAGGGGGGGTGGGGTTTGCCACTAGTTCCCCTTCCATCCGTTCACTGACAGCGTATTATAAAAACCAGATTGGCAGATTGGTTTGGGAACCACGAACCATGACTAGACTGGGATTCAGATTTCACCTTGTACAGTATATGACATTAGCCTGAAGGCCTTTTCTCAACCATAAAGCAGCCTTCTAAAGGGGCACTTTGTGAGACGGGAGGAGAGTACGTAACCTGTTTATCTCTGAATCTGTCCACCCACCCACCTGCTTTTTCCCTAATGGGGTCCCATAACTGTTGGGAGTAAAACAGTCGGAGGCGAGTTGCAAAGGAAGAGTACTTTCCAGTGGAAAATGGGCTCTCAGTGTATATAACTGATAGCTGCAGTTCAGCCCTGACATGAGGCTATTGACTCCCCTTTCACCTTAAGGATCTGTTCCAGACTCACAAGTCCTCCCTTCTTTAAAAGGTCTTTTGTTTATGACCCATAGGGTGCCAGTATTACAGAACATGGAACTTTCTCTGTAGTTCATCTTAGGAAGATGATGGTGTAACTATGCCATGAAACATAATATGAGGCATTTTCCTGGAGCCGTTTGTGAGGAAAGGCTAGCAGGCCGATGATGTACAAGCAGGAAAGCACTGGGTGCAAGTTACATCAGCCTCCTTTTTAGTCGTGTATGTGTGATTTAATATGCAAATCTTTTTGCAATATTTATCCGATCTATTATTATTATTATTATTATTATTTAGATGATTTATAAACCACCCTTTGTAAAAGCCACAGGGTGGTTTACATAAAATCGATAAAATAACACAATCCTTCGAAAACACGTAATAAGCTTAAGACAGTTCTCATTTTTTTTTATGTTGATGAACAGAAGACCTTCGAATTAAGGCATAATTCCACACACACACACACACACACACACGAACTGTTATAAATACATAAATACATTTTTTTATGTTGATGAACAGAAGACCTTCGAATTAAGGCATAATTACACACACACACACACACACACACACTCACACAGGAACTGTTATAAATACATTTTTTTATGTTGATGAACAGAAGACCTTCAAATTAAGGCATAATCACACACACACACACATATCCAACAACTGTTATAAATACTGATATATACTGCCTCTGCACATGAGGGCTTCAAAAGGGCCACCACAGCAAATAGCCATGGATAGGCACATCCTCAATTAGTATGGCCTTATCTCTTTTTAAAGCCGCCTTAAGTCTAACCTAGTGGCTGCCACATCTTGTGGAGTGAATTCCCTGAATTGATTATGTGCTGTGAGAAGACGCACTCCATTTTGTCTGCCCTTAATCCCCTGCCTATCAATTGGGTTTTTGGTGATCCTGAATCCAATGCATTGTCAAGAGAGAGGGACAACTTTCCCAGCATTACGTTCCTAAAGCAGGCAAGCCTACATTTCTCCTTTCGAGGGTAAGAGGACTTCGGTTTGTTTATTGACCAAACCAGAGGACGTAATTTTGGGAGAGAGGCTCATTCCTCTAACGTTTTAAAACCTTAGTCCAAAAAGTTGCACCAAAGGCTTAAAATTGGGTGAAGCAAGCAGTTGTATGTGTGTTTTTTGTACACATTTGTTGGTAAGCAGCTATACCATACGGATGCAGTCGGTTACATTCTTTACAGACGAGAAATACGTTTAGCTGTTGTGAATTAAAATGTGATTAACAGATTCCAGATTGGACTTTGAGGAGGGGGAGGAGCAGCTGCTGCTGCTGCTGCTGCCATTGCAGCAAATGTGTGCAATGCCAAGGTTCCCTCAGGTGAAGTCTTCTCTGCTCTTGGATAACCAGTCTGTTCCAGCCGAGATTCATCCAAGGAAACCATGCTTCAGCTCAGGCATGGGATCACAGGGCTGCTATTATTTATTATTTACAATATTTCAAGGCCTCCCTTTGCAGACAAATCAATTGCAGGGTGGTTCACCACCGATTATGCAACCATTATACGCAGCCTAAAATGCAAGTGCGTTCATTATATGCTTTCACAGGTGTATTTCTACTCACTTTGCACCCCCCACCTGTCTGCATTTCAAACAGTAGGTTATATTAAAGGCTAGATTAAGCAACATAAAAACAATAACAAAAAAACACACCACAGGAATATTCCACAATCCACAAAGATTATTAAGGGCCTAAAATAAGTGCCACAGGTGCAATAGAAATAGTAAAATAAACCCTGAAGGGGTACTTGGAAGCAGGCATGAAGCAGCTCAGGACCTCAAGGATCGCCTCTTTCCATATGAACTTACCCAGACCCTGAGGTCCAGAGGGTGGCAACACGAGAACGGGCCTTCTCTGCAGTGGCTCCCCATCTGTGGAATGCTCTCCCCATGGAAGTTCACCTGGCACCTTCATTATACACCTTTAGGCGCCAAGCAAAAACATTCCTTTTGAACCAGGCCTTTAGTTGATCTGATTTACATCCTATGCCCTTTTAAAATGTGGTTTTGGCGGGGGGGGGCGCTATTGGATTGTTGTTTCTATTTTTGTTATGTATTTTGTGGTTTTATATCTTGATTTTATTCTGTGAACCGCCCTGAGACCCCCGAGTATAGGGCGGTATATAAATTTAATTAATTAATTAATTAATAATATCACAAAATTAAAAAAATGATGGTGGAGTAGACCCACTGAAATTAATGAACTTGACTAAGTTAGGCCCATTAATTTCCAAGTACAACTTATTTGAGATATCACCCAGTGCCATCCAACTCCATGAGCTTTTTGCTATCAAAATGTCATATCCAGTTGATTTTAGAGATGCATAACTGAGGCATATCAAACAAAGAAAAGGCACGCTCTTACATACAAACTTCTCTAGCCTGTTACGACTTCTTGGAGAAATCTTATATGTATTTGTTTATCCTCTGCATGTATTTCTTCACCCTACCTTTTTGCCCAAAACCTACATGGAGGCTCACATGGCATTAAAACCCCGCAGTCTTCTTTCTCAATTGCTGAATTTTGATTGGGATAATTTGGCTCTGGCTCATTCTAAACTGCCAGAAGGAGCTGGTGTTGGTTGGCATCTCCCTCAGTTTGTGCTAATTTTTGCCTTGTGTTGTGCTTTTCGTTTTCCTCCCCCTTCTGGAACGGCACTGGTCGATAGTCACACAATATGTTACAATAGAATATGAATCCGTTGGTGTCCAGGTTTTGTGTATTTCATACTGGAAGTGGATCTTTTCCCCCCTGAGTAACATCGTATAGGTAGTTTATCCAGCAGTTTCTCTTTCTTTTATTTTTCCTTGTGTTTTCTAGGGGCTAAACACAGTAGCAGCAAACATACGTATTTTAACCCTTCTAGGAAAAAGCAGCTTCAGAGGGAGGTGGTTTTCAGCAAATAAGTGGCAGGCAGAGGGTGCTTAACCCTTCTCTCACCAATTTTCCTGCTGTGAGCAGCTTTTCTCCATCATAAGATATTCTTGACTTCTGTTTGCAGAGGCAAACACATCTGGCTTCCAGAGTTGGAGCAAGTGAAGGGGGGCGGTTTACAGGGGGAAATCATCAGGTGGGGAAGGGTTAAACACAGCCTTCCTCCTACACTTTACCACTGAAAATTGCCCATTCCTCTGCCTTGGAAGGAACAGCAGTTGGGGGTTACATACCCAAAAATGCGTAGTTTGGCCAGGAGGCAGATTAGTTATTTAGCTCTTGGGAAAGCAGAGTCTGAAGTCTTCTCCACCTGTGCTAATGCTTTCCTGATTTGTGGGGGCTTGGAAGGGAGGGGGCGTTCAGTCACTGCTAGAATCCCATAGCGGACAGTTTCCTCCCTGCACCGTTCAATGTCTCTGAATCCACAAATCCACTCGTTTTCCTGCAGGCGACTGTCTTTTCTGTCTTTCATGCCTGCTTCCAAGTACCCCCTTCGGGGTTTATTATGGTGGGTAGGTGCGTACAGAATTTCAATTCCTGGAAATCTTTGCTCTCATGATCACGGAGGACGTGTTAGAATACATGCACAGATAAGCGCTTTTGAAAACTTCAGCTGCTCAGGGGTGAGGGGAATACGCAATGGCTCTGCATCTCTTATCAACGCTCTCTTAACTGTTCCTTACTTGGATAGTGAGCTTGACTGACAGGGAAACCTCATCCATTAAAGGGGGGGGGGGATGCCAGCAATTACTGCATGGCATGAAATTTCCAGTGAAGTTAATGCACAGATTGCATATCTGTTTCACTCCATGGTGGTGGTGCAGAGATCTTTCACCTTGTGGTAAGATGTCCCTGTTGTTGCTTTGGGGAGGGGGGAGCAAAACATTAACCCATTCTGCCTATTGGGGTTAAGCTAGGATGCCTATTTCATTCCCCCACCCCTTCCCATCACCTAGGCCAGCCTTCTGAAACTGGGTGCCCTCCAGATATTATTGGGACTACAATTCTCACCCTCCTCAGTGAACCTCAGCCTTCCATAGCCCACCAGGCTGTGGGAAGGCTGGCCTAGGTGATGGATGGGATGCCGATGGCAAATTTTGTGACGTGAGGAAGATTCTTCAGGGTTCTAGTTAGCCCCAGGTGCAAACACTGCCCCAGGCTGCTGCTGTCAATGCAAAGGTTCATCTTGCTGCTTTGATGATACTTGATGGTACCTCTCTCTCCCCACAGGTGAGGGAGCTGCCTGCAACCCCAAGCTCATTCATTCCGTGGACTATGCCCACACCTCCATGCCCTCTCAGCCATGGAGACTCCCATGTTCGACACTATCCTGGAGACGACGGACGGTGTGACCCCTGACCCCAGCTGGACACTGCCCTACCCGCTGGGCTTCCAGGTCTCACTGACGGGCTTCCTCATGTTGGAAATCGTACTGGGCGTCAGCAGCAACTTGACCGTATTGGTGCTGTATTGCCTCCAGGCTGGCCTGGTGGACTCTGTCAGCAACATGGTGACCATGAACTTGCACGTGCTGGACGTGCTCATATGCGTGGTGTGCGCCCCGCTTACCATGGTGGTGGTCCTGGTGCCCCCCGACCGGGCCGCCACACTCCTCTGCTGCTTCCACGAGGCGTGCATCACCTTCAGCAGTGTGGCCACGGCCACCAATGTGCTGGTGATCAGCCTGGACCGCTACGACATCTCGGTGCGGCCGGCGCAGCGCGTGCTGACCCCGGGCCGCGCCATCCTTCTCCTGGCTGGCGTCTGGGTGCTGTCCCTGGCTGTCTTCTTCATACCCTTCCTTGAGGGCGAGCTGGGCCACGCCAGCACGTGGCAGAACCGCACCGTGCTCTGCGTCGGGCCCGAGGAGTTCCACGCTGAACTTGGCACCTCCTACCACCTGGCAATCCAGATCCCCACGTTCTTCGCCGCCGTGGCCGTCATGCTGGTGACCTACGCCAAGATCCTGCAGGCCCTCAACATCAGCATCGGCAGCACCTTCAAGCGCAGCCAGCGCCACAAGACCAAGAAGAGGAAGCGGCGGAAATCGGCAGAGCCAAGCGGCAGCGTGGCGGCCGGCGGAGCAGAAGCCAAGCGGCTCTCTCAGCCCGTGCCGGCGCTGCCGACGCCACCGCCCATGGGGGTGCAAGCCTCGGTCTCTGTGATCATCGCCCTGCGGCGAGCGGTGAAGCGCCACCGTGACCGGAGGAAGCGCCAGCGGCGGGTTTTCCGCATGTCCCTGCTCATCATCTCCACCTTCCTGTTGTGCTGGGCGCCGCTGTCTGTTGCCAACCTGCTGATCCTGTGCCTGGGACCCAGCCCCCTGATGGGCAAGCTGCGCGTCTGCTTCCTGGCCATGGCCTACGGCACTACCATCTTCCACCCGCTCCTCTACGCCTTCACCCGCCAGAAGCTGCGGAACGTGCTGCGCAGCAAGCTGAAGAAGCGAGTGGTGTCGGCCCTTCAGGTGGACCCCGCGCCCGGCGGCACCGTCATCCACAACTCCTGGGTGGAGCCGCCCCGCAAAAGCTGCAAGGGCCGGCTGCGGAGTAGTGACGGAGCCGAGCGCTGCCTGACTGAGGCCGCTAAGGAGTGAGGCGTAGGGGGCCGAGCCCTCAAAATGGAGGTTCAGCAGAGTTTGGGGGTGGGCGTACGAATCTTCCGCCTCGCCCAAGCTGGTGAGCGGCGAGTGCCAAACACTGAAAGGGGAGGGAGGCACAGAGGCCGCCAGAAACTACAACACCGGTGCTAACCCTTCCGCCAGAAGCCACTGAATGAGAGAAGTGGGGGTGAGCAGATGTCTTAACGAAGCAGCGAGGGTCAGCCATCGGCGCCTTGCCGAAACCCCAAGGGTTTCTGGGTAGGGTGCGATACTGATCCCTCACAAAAGGCCCTGCGCCCAGAGTGCAAGGCCTTCCCGTTGCCAGCGCTGAAACCAACCGACTGTCTGAGGTAAAAGACAAAGGCTCGAGCCTTCCCACCCATGGCACCGGCCAATTCACCACACTAAGACCCAATATAATGATCACTACTACTACTCCTATTTAATGTTTATATCGGTGCCAAGAGTTGTGCTAAAGACATCCACTTGGGTGAGGTCCCCTGCATATAGGGTCGTTGAGCCCACATGGCAGTGAGCGAGTGAGCTTCCCCAGGGGCCTAATCAGCTAATACATATTTCTCTTTATTGCTGGCTAAGTCCAGGAAGTGGAGGAAGAAGTCTAAGAAAGCATTTTGTGGCTGCGGGGGAAATGCGGGTTTGGGGAAGGGGTGAGCCTCGCGCAGCTCTCGGCCCCACTGTTTTGCTGTGCTTTCCTCCCCAGAACCCCTTAGATTAGGCAAGCGACACACTGTTCTGTTGCATCATCCCAGGCCCCTGCCGTCTCCAGAACATGTTATGCTTTGGGGGTGGGTTTAAGTGCAGTTGTAGATCTCCCAGTCCAGTGGCTGGAGCCTGGCAAACATACCTTTCTGCAAAGGTTTATGTTAGGCTCTGCGCCCACACACCACTTCCATATTGGGACCAGTTTCCCAACAACCTCCTTGGTTTTTCTGGTTTTTTTTAAGGCTTCAGTACTGCAGACGCTGATTTCCTTGCCTCTGCCATCGCTGGTGGCCACTGACTCCCAGCATCAGATGCTAAGTGCAGCTGCAGTCCTGGATTTGAAGGTTCACTACTGTACCAAACGGCAACAGCTTTTTGGGGGGAAAGGGGAGGGGGAAATGGACCGCTCCAATCAGAGGAACAGGGACTGTAGGTGTAGACATGCCCCAAGCGACCCCGGATGTCTCATTTAAAAAGAGGCCAGACATCAATAGCTGCCTTATACCAAGCCCACACCATTGGGTTCCATCTAGCTCAGTATTGTCTGACTGGCAGTCCAGGGTCTCAGGCAGGGGATATTCCCAGCCATACTGGGAGATACATCAGGATTAGAACTGGGCATTTTCTGCATGCAAAGCAGGTGCTCTGGTACCGAGCTCTGGCCCCGCCCTCCTTGCAGCCAGTATCCTCTAAGTAACATGGTCTGGAAAGAGGACCTAGGCATACATCAACAGCACAGTTGGACCCAGCCCTTTCATACTGTGCCTCTGGGGGAACAGAGGGGAGTGGGGTAGACGGTATGCCAAATGGAAGGTGCCAAGGCTTGGGATTGGCCTTTATGGAGCAGGCAGTGAAAGAGCTGTCCAAGGATGGTATTTGTGTACTAGGGGAGCTGAGCTGGGTGCAAGTCCCACTGGACTTGGTGGAGCTTACTTCTGTTAGGCACTAACGAAAGTTGCAGCACTGCCCAAGATACAGGCACACACCTGCCCAGCCACTCGCAAGAGATCATTTCCTTGCCGCTGTTACGTTGAAGGTTGTCAGAAGGGAAGGAGAAGAAAGCCCTCAGTCTACCAGCTACAATTCCGCTCCTTGCTGCTTCCCAGAAATGCATGAGGAGCATATGGTCAGCTGCTAGGCAGTCAGTTCTCTCCCACACTCTCCCTTAGAATAGGCCCAGAATCCTCTGGCTCATCAGCACCCAATGGCAGGAGGAGCAGAGAAGTGCCCCTCAAAAGTGTGTGGGCGCGTGGCAAATGCTGGATAGATCACGAAGCTGGCGAGAGCCTCTAGAAGGACTTTTTTTTTCCTTAACGGGTCAACGGCAGCTCATTATAGTTCCTTATTTCCGAGCTTCTTAAAAACTTGGCATTAGACTGGCCCTTTACCTAGACTTACTGCAATACAAGAATATACACCATCAGACTGTCGGTCTATTGCAGACGAGGATTGGCACCTATTGGCAGCAGCACCTCAAAGCTTCAGACCAGGGTTTTCCCTAGCCCTGCCCAGAGACTGAACCTGGGATATTCTGCATGCAAAGCCACAGCCCTTCCCTGGTATCCACAGAGCCACGCAGACAGTCACACCAACTGGCCCTGTTGCATCCTTCCTCCATGCCAACCGCCAGCACAGTTACCAACAAAAGACTTGCTACGTCTTCCTCATTCATCCCACGTGGCAAAAGAAAAAGGAAGGGGGGGGGAACCTGTTGGAAGTAACATTTGGGTGCCCAGCTTCTTCCAGCCAGGAGTCTGAAAGCGGATTTCACACGACTGTCTCGTCTCTTGTGTATCGGTGTAGTCTAGCCATAGGTGTCATATTCTGGAAGCTGTAACATGGCCACAGTTGAAGGCAATAAAAGAGCTGGTGAGTTGTGTGTGCAATGTGTCAGAAATCGTGGGGGGTTCCCAGAGGGTAGAACCAGTTGGCATCACATGAACAACCCACTGCCCCTTTTAGATAAAGCTAGAAGTCGCAGGTTCATCCCGGCAGAATGGGATCATCTCAGTGGTAATAGATTGTGCTCGTATTTTCCCAGAGGTAATCTCACTGGAAGGGAGCAGCAGAAACAATTGCCAAACGCCTCACATCCATATTTTCCTGTGATGTCCTACTGATACACCGAAGCTTTTCTGAGTGTGGTTCTTCCTCTTGACTGTGCTATCTGCCAAAGGCGTGTAAGTAGGGAATTCATGGTGGCTTTCCCCCATTATAGAAGAACTTTGCCTTGGAGAATAGTAAACCTCTTGAGTCTAAACCTCTTTCAGGCTGCTTTATTTCATCTGGGTTAAAAGACTTGGCTTGACGTTTTGCCACTTTGCATCTGTCTCATTCACTTGCTCTGATCTTTAGCCTCAAGCTGCCCTGAGACAATCCAAAATACAGATGAGCAACCTTTTTTTCTGCTGTGGGTTGAGGCAGGAGCAGGGAACCTTTGGTCCTCTGAATGTTTCTGAACTACAACTTGCACCATTCCTGGCCATTGGCCCTGCTTGCTAGAGTTGATTAGAGTTGTAGTTCTGCAACATCGGCAGTGGGCAGGGCCAGAGCCAAGACTGGGCAATGTCACCCTCTTTTGCCCTCTCTCCTTGCCTGTCAGGGAACTGCCATCAGTGTCCGAGGGAGAGAGCAAGCTCCAAAGGGATCCCAGAGAGCGTCCCGGGAGTGGGAGAGGCAGCCCGTCTTCTGGGGAGGAGAATCAACGTAGCTCCAGTGGAGAAGGGGGGCAGATGGGGGAATCGGCGAGGCGGTCCCATGACTCCTTGCTGGGGCCCAGCGGGGAGAGGAAGGGTCCTCCGCTGCCTACGCCCTCCTTGCACAGAAGGCTTCCGCGCCGGGAGAGTAGGAGGAGACTTGGAGTCAAAGAACTTCTTTGCTGGAAGAAGTTTAAGAAACGTCCACTGACGGATTCTGTCAGCGATTGAGACAGTCACGGGCGAGTGGCTGCCTGGACAGGAAAGGTTCACTTAGGCAACCCAGCCAGAGGTTGGGACAAGCTTACACACGAGCAACCCCTAGAACCATTACATTGCCACTCTTTTCTACCTCTTTATAGTGCCCCTTTCCCTCCCTCTGCCCAGTGGGCTGCCGAACAGCTCTTGCCAGAGGTCAGAACTAATCCCTTACAGAAGGCTTTTTGAAATTGGGCTAGGGTCCGGATAAAATGGGCCCCACTCCAACAAATGAATCATGAGATGTAAAGAGCAGCCACAGTCTGTGACCACATACCGGCTGTGGTTCATAAAAAAAATAAATAAATGGGGAGGGGTGACTGATCTTTGCAATTCTTACGTTGCTTTCTTACGTGACATCAAACCTGAGTTGTACAAATGTCAGAACGTTAGGTTGATGTCTGGTGAGAACAGTTGTTTGCTTTAAAAATGTACAGTGGGAGAAGATCCCTATTTGGCACTTCATAATTATAGAGTCACTCCTTTAGAGTGTGGGAAGGCACCTGCCAGCTCCTTTAGAACAGGTGCATACATACAAAAAAAAAAATCTAGATATAGGACTACAGCAAAATAATGTGGAGGGAAAAGGGGGGTTGGGAAGAATGGAAAAGCACAACAAATAGGCAGTGTTTCCCCCCACTAAGGGCCGGGTGTTTATTTTCTGTGCTGGACACTGCCCTGTCACAAGCAAGCCGCATTCAAGGAGGAGTTGACTTGCTCATTATAGTCAATGGTGGCAATCGGTTTTTTGAGGAAAAATGGGAGAGTCTGCTGTCAAAATGCCAACAGTCTCCCGCTAAGGCAACTGCTGTGGCAGCACAGTGGGGCTCTTCGACATCATTTTCACATGGGGAGTGTGTTTTCTGAATGTGCTTCCACCTAGTGAGATCTCAGTTTTGCTTTTCAATGGATTGCTGAGGTGCAGTAAATCTCAGGTCTCACCCAGAAGGGGGAAATACCTTGAACATCAAGCCAAGTACAATTTTTCATTGCTGTTATCAACTACTGGTAATTGCTGCTTCTTAACAACACATCCCACCCTTCTAGAGCAAAACCTAGTGACTGCAAAAGCTGAAATATCTTTTAGAATGTGAGCATTGTTATTTCTCTCTTCTGGTGGTGGGGCAGGTATCAAAATGAGCATTAGTATTACCGTATTTTTCGCTCTATAAGACGCACCAGACCACAAGACGCACCTAGTTTTTGGAGGAGGAAAACAAGAAAAAAAATATTCTGAATCTCAGAAGCCAGAACAGCAAGAGGGATCGCTGCGCGGTGAAAGCAGGAATCTCTCTTGCTGTTCTGGCTTCTGGGATAGCTGCGCAGCCTGCATTCGCTCCATAAGACGCACACACATTTCTCCTTGCTTTTTTGGAGGGAAAAAAGTGAGTCTTATAGAGCAAAAAATACGGTAAATAGGAGGTTCCCCTCCGCCCAATAACATCCTTTATATGAACCCTTCATTTATGCAGTGTTCCACCAAACAATAAACTATGATTTATTAGGATCGGGCAGTCTTAATCCCAGTAAGCCTTTAACCATGGTTTACCATTACATGCAAACAAAGCCAATAGTTTTTATATGTGCTGTAATAATTATATTTGGGTCTGCTTACATGAAATCAGATCACTGACCCAAGTAGCCAAGCATTGGCTGACAACATTTCGAGGTCTTCGGTGAAGGGGCCTTTCCAAACTTTAGTTGCCTGCAATTCTGTAACTGGAGAGTTGGCAAATTTAAATTGGGACCCTGGACATGCAAATCACATGGTACACTACTGAGTTGGTGCTATTCTTGGAAGCAGATATCTGGTTTTGATTACATTCCTATTCCATTCTTTAGAAAGCTTTGGGCTGTTACCAAAGCCCAGTCACTACAGACATATATTTCTAACTATGGCCCGTGTTACATGCTATCTTAAGGGTTGCAGCTTTTCATAACCAGAACTCTGTAGTTGTGCAGACGCAGATCTGCAGAATAATTTTACACTGGCAGCTCTGCTGTGTGCATCTGAAAACCAGTGTGAGAGGGCAAACCTTATGAGGAATGGTTGAGGAATATGGTATGTTTTGTCTGGTAAAGAGAAGACTCGGAAGAGATACGGTAGACATCTTCAAATTAAAGAGCTATCGCCTGGAAGATGGAACAAGCTTGTTTTCTCCTGCTCCAGAGGCTAGGACCCAAACCAATGGGTTCAATTACAAGAAAGGAGATTCTGACTAAAAGTCACAAAGAACGTTCTGACTGTAAGAGCTAACAGGCTCCCACGAGAGGTGGTGGACTCTCCCTCCCTTGGGTTTTTTTAAAGCAGAGGTTGAATCTCCATCTGTCATGTGCGATCTAGTTGAGATTCCTGCACAGCAGGGGGTTGGACTAGATGACCCTCCTCGGGGTTCCTTCCAACTCCACAGTTCTATGATCTGATCCATCTTCCCTTCAGCATGCCCCAGGCTCTGCAATGCAGGCCAGTATGGCTGCTCTGTGGCGCCGTGCAGGTTATCTAGAACAATGTTGGCACTAGTTTGCCCTGTGCCATTCTGCATTCGATTTAAGATGCATGAGATTTACCTTGACGTTTCCTGCCATATCAGAGCTGCGGCTGCAAATTATGCAGACGTGCGGTCTAGTTGTCCTTGATGTGGCTGCAAGCTTTTAACAAACATATTTGCAATTATTGCTTCGCAATGTCAGCAGAAGTTAATTTATGTAGCCAAACCCAGGGACAGAAGACAGAGGGGCTTAATACATTTTCAGAGGAGGAAAAGCCTCACTTCCCAGCTGCGTGACACTGGTTAGCTTCCCTGTACTGTGATGATTCTTCACCTAGTCAATTTTTCATGAGCCTTGAGAGGACGATAAGAGATCAAGGGTATGCGTCTCAAAGTCAGTTTTTTTAAAATTCCAACTGCGTTTGATCCTTACTTGTGGCTGATTTCATTTCGGATTCTCAGCTAGGGCACACCGCTCACCAAAAACACACCCAGCCTCTCTCCTGCAGACTATTCCTGCCTTGTACATTCTGCCTAGATTGTAAATGCTAGAGTGCGTGCTCAGTGCCGATCAGTATGGGCATTCCTCAGCCTGAAAGCAGTCTGTTCAGGGGAATTCAACCTTTTCAGTCGGCCCCACCACAACTACAATGTTTTGAGATTTGCTGCTGATGTCAAACACCATCTCTCCCTCTCAATGAATGCACTTCACGTTTGTTGCAATGTGCTACCTGTACCAAGTGCTGCTGCAGTAAGGTCACATTGTGATTTACGGTCTCCCACGACACCTCTCTCTAAATTCCCCACGAGCCCTCCTGTACAGCTCTCCACACTGTTCCCTGGTGCCTGGTCTCCATACAATGCCTTCCATGGAGCCCAGATTGCACAAATGCATGCAATTTCACAAATGCTTCCCCCCCAAAGCTTGCAATTCCACAAATGCTTCCCCCACATACACTATGCTGCCCTTGGAAACCGGTAAGCATTGTTGGGATAAGGAGTCTGTGTTATACCATTCAAAAGCACTCCACTCTCCTCCTCTTCAATTCTAATATCCTCTGCACAGGAAAATAACCCTTCTGCCTTTGTGCTTTAACTCCTAGCTGTAAGTGAAATAGTTATTATCCTACCCCTGCAGCTAGGGGAACCTATTTCCTGTGCTCAGACTCAGCCCTGGAAGGAAGGAAAGGAAGAAAGGGAACGGCATGCTTCTCTGAGGTTGTCCAGAAAGCTTTCCTCATGCCACTGCGTAGCTGTAGCCTGCCTTCTTGCTTGTGAGAGGAAGGGACCAGTGCTTTGAGGTTAAAAAGCAGGTCAGACACATTTAGGCCCCATCTGTGTCATACATTTAGAGCTGTATCATATGAATTTAATCTGTCTCCCAAATAATCCTGTAGTTTCTTAAGGGAGCTGTGTGTTGCTAGAAGACTCCCCTATTCCCCTCACAGAGCTACAATTCCCGGATCCCGGGGGGAAAGGGCAGAACTGTTAAACCCCTCTGAGAGTTGTTGCTCTGAGGGGACAGGGGACGGCTGCCATACGTCCAGAATTTCGCAGACGTAGCCGGGATTTGTCCGTCGAAAATGGCATATGGCCGCTCGTATCAGAAGTGTTGAATTTTGGGCAAATTTCTGGAAAAAAAACAGCTTAAAAACATCTCTTTTTTTGAGATTTTGAAAAAAAAAAAAGCAGCTCAAGAATTGTGGCAAAAACAAAACACAAAACCTTCTGTGTCCGGATTCTCACTTCTAGAAATATGACAACCTAACGGGGGGGGGGGGGGGAACGCTCTCCTAACAACTCGCGGCACCCAGAAA